AACATACAATCAAGATTCACTGGTAATTACTGGTAATTGGGATGAGAAAGTTGGAAACAGATGAAGGATCAGTTGTTGGAAAATATGGCCTTGGTGATAGAAACAGCATTGGAGATTGCATGATAGAATTTTGCAAGACCCATGACTTACTCATTGGAAATACCTTTTTTTCAATAACATAAACAGTGACTACACACATGGACCTCACAGGATGAAATACACAGGAAACAAATTCACTACATCTGTGGGAAAAGACAATGGATAAGCTTGTATCATCAATCAGAATAAGGCTAGGGGCTGACTGAAGAACAGACCATTGATAGCTTGTCTGCCATGCTAAGGTGAAGAAAATTAAATCCTTGAGAGCCAAAGTGTATGGCCTTGCATTCATCAACCTGAATTTAGAGGTCTTCTCAAGAATGAACTAATGACAGAAGATCAGATGAATTGTGGAATGATATCAAGGATACCATACATGAAGAAAGCAAAAGGTCATTAAAAAGACAAAAAGGAAAGAAAAAGACCAAAATGGATATAAGAAGAGACTCTGAAACTTGCTTTTGAACATAGGGTAGCTAAAGGAATAGAGGATATGATGAAATAAAAGAGCTGAGCAGAAGTTTTCAAAGGGTATCTCTAGAAGACAAAGTATGATAATGAAATGGGCAAAGATGTGGAGTTAGAACCCTAAAAGGGAAAGTCATGCTTGACATTTCTCAAGCTGAAACAACTGAACAAAAAATTCAAGCCTCAAGTTGCAATATTGAAGGATTTCATGGGCAAGATCTTGAATGACAAAGCAATGTTGAAGAGGATGGAAGGAATACCCAGAGTCACTCTACCAAAAGGAATTGATTGATGTTCAGCTATTTCCAGAGGTATCCAAAGAACAAAAACTGATGGTATTGAAGGAAGAAATCTAAGCTGCACTGAAAGCATTGGTGAAAAACAAGGCTTCGGGAATTGACGGAGTTCTAAGTGAGATGTTTCAGCAAGCGGATGCAATGTTGGATGCACTCCCTTGTCTGTGCCAAGTATTTTGGAAGACAGCTGCATAACCAGTTGTCTGGAAGAGATCCATATTTGTGCCCATTCTACAAAAAGGTGATGCAACAGAATGTAGAAATTATTGAACAATATCATTAATGTCACATACAACTAAAATTTTGCTGAAGATAATTCAAAAACAGTTACAGTGCGGTTTGTTGACAGGGAACTGCTAGAAATTCAAGCCAGATTCAGAAGAGGATATGGAACAAGGGATATCATTGCTGATGTCAGATGAATCTTAGCTGAAAGCAGAGAATACCAGAAAGATGTTACTTGTATTTTATTGACTATGGAAAGGCATTCGACTGTGTGGGTCATAAGAAATTATGGACAATATTCTAAAGAATGGAGATTCCAGAACACTTAATTGTGCTCATGCAGAACGTATGTGTAGAGCAAGAGGTAGTCATTTGCACAGAACTAGGGGACACTGTGTGGTTTAATATCAGGAAAGGTGTGCATCAAGGTGGTATCCTTTCACCATATTTATTCGGTCTGTTTGCTGAGCAAATCTAAGAAGCTGGACTATATGAAGAGGAACATGGCATCAGGATTGGACGAAGACTTATTTACAACATGCAATATGCAGATGATGCCACCTTGCTTGCTGAAAGTGAAGAGTAGTTGAAGCATTGCTGATGTGGTTCAAAGACTACAACGTTCAGTATGGATTACATGTCAAATAAAGAAAATAAAAATCCTTCACAACTGGACCTGTAAAGCTACATCATAATAAATGGAGAAAAGATTGACATTGTCAAGAATTTCATTTTACTTGGATATACAATCAATGCCCATGGAAGCAGCAGTCAAGAAATTAAAATGTCATATTGCATTGGGCCAGTATGCTGCAAGAGACCTTTTTTTTTTTTTTAATTTTATTTTGATTTGGGTGAAGATTTACAGAGTAAATTCACTTTTCGTACAGCAGTTCACATATACTTTGTCTCATGTCATTGACCAAAATTTACAATGCAACAGCTCCCCTCCCACTTCCTCCCCATAGTTACCTCTTCCCAGTGTCCATCCCTCCATACTCTTCTGCGCCCTGAGCTGTCTCCCTGTGCATAAGCAGCCCTTCCTTCTCCCATGATTGTTCTCTCCAGGGTGTGTGTCCACTTGAGGTAAATGTTTAACTCACTTGCCTGTACTTGTTTGGCTGGAAACTACAGGTGTGGATTCAATTCCAGACCTGAAGGGCAGCTAGGGGCCATAGTCTCAGTGGTTTCACCAGGCTCTGTTGGACCAGCATACCTGGTCCCCACCTTCTTTTTTTGCCTCCAAATGATTTTGAGTTTTGTTCCACATTGTTCTCCCTCTCTATGCGGGATCTTGTACATCCCTTCCAAGTGGATGACAGTGGTAGCCGGGCACCATCTAGTTCTTCTGGTCTCATAGTTGTATAGGTTGCAGATCAGATGGTGTACCAGTCGCTAGGACTGATTGTTTCCATTCATTTTGGTTTTCTTCTTTCTTCTTGACGAGGAGACACCCATTGTTGCATCTAGATGGCAGCTTGCTAGGACTGATTGTTTCCATTCATTTTGGTTTTCTTCTTTCTTCTTGACGAGGAGACACCCATTGTTGCATCTAGATGAAGAGACCATTTTAAAGTGTTCATAAGGAAAGAGGCACTTTGAAGACTAATGTGCACCTGACTCAAGTCCTGATATTTTCTGTCCCCTCATATGCATGTGAAAGCTGGACAATGAATAAGGAAGACTGAAGAATTGATGCATTCGAATTAGGTGTTGGTGAAGATTATTGAATATACCATGGACTGCCAGAAGAAGGAACAAATCTGTCTTGTATAGCCATTATGGTCCTTGGAAGCAAATATTAGAAATTTTATCTCATATACTTTGGACATGTTACCAGAAGGCATCAGTCCCTGGAGAAAGACATCATGTTTGATTGATAGTCAGCAAAAAAGATGCAGTCAACAAGATGGATTGCCACAGTGGCTGCAAAAACTGAGCTCAGACATAGCAAGGATTGTGAGAATGGTGTAGGACTGGTAGTGTTTACTTCTGTTGTAAATAGGTTCTCTGAGTCAGAACTGACTTGACAACAACTATGTAAGTGTTTTACTGACAGACAGTCTGAACCTAGATAAGTCAAGCTGTCAGTTAAGTGTTTCTCATTGCTCTATACTGTGGGGTTACATAGAATATTCTGCATTAGAAAGGCTGACAGAGCAAGTATGGTGACTAACTAGCACTTTAAGTACCTGTTAATGGGAGGCAGGTGAGTGTATGGTGAAGTGTATAAACTTGAGAGGCTTTGTGGCTTGGGCAGAGTCCCTCAGTGGGGTAAACAGGTAAGCATTGGACTACTGTTTGAAAGTTGATGGTTTGAATCCACCCAGTGACACCTGGGAGACAAGCCTAGTGATCTACTTCCAAATGGACACAGCCTTAAAAACCCTATAGAGCATTTCTACTCTGTAGAGCCACCATGAGTCAGAATTTGATGACAACTAACTATAACAGTAGCAGTTCTGATGGTATAGTGGTTAATGCCTTCGGCTGCTAACCAAAAGGTTGGTGGTTTGAACCCCCCAGCATCTCTCTGGGAGAGCGATCAGGTGGTATGCTTCAATAAAGATTTATAGCCTTGGAAACCCTATGGGGCAGTCTTGTGAGTAGGAAACTATAACAATATATTTTGGGACTTGCTAGCTTGGTAACTTTGACAACTGACTTGGAACCTGTTTTCTCGTTTAGAGCAGAGATTAAATACTTCTTAGGGTGTTGTGAGGATTAGATTTGGTAAAGTAAATGGAATAAAAATACCATATACTTAGCATAGTGTCAAATACACATTAAGCGTGTGCTCGAGAATAGAGTTTTTTTTAATATTCATACTAGTAATAATGCTTGTTATTCTTGTTGATGTCATTTCCTCTTTCCCCCGATGTGTGTTTCTTTTTCTTTGTCTCTCGTTGTGCAAGTTCTAATGTCCTTTATTTCTTTCTCTTCTGTATTTTTCTTTTGTCTCAGTGGTCCTGGATAACTGTTAGTGACACAAAAGGATAAAGAATTTCCTGTCCCCTAGTTACTAAGCTACAGTGTATCTACCCAAAGGCCAGACCTACTGTGGTCCAGTCACTTCTGACTCATAGTGACACTGTGGGACAGAGCAGAATTGCCTCTTTACAGAAGCATGGTGTTTTGTCTTCCCGCAAAGCAGCGCTGGTGTGTTTGAATTGCAACCATTCAGTTAGCAGCTGAGTGCTTAACCGCTGTGCCACCAGGGATTCTTGCTACAGTGAACAGCAGGAAAAAAATTGCTATCAGAAGGAAACCAATCTCTGTAAGGATTCACATAAACATAGCACTTTGACCAGTATTCATGAGGAATCCTTACATTTCAAAAGTTCATTTCAAGCACCTTCGGTTTAAAGACCTACATCATAGTATGATTCACTAACCCAAAAAAATCTAAATATTTTCATTTTTATGAAGAAAGGTAAAAGTGAAACTAGTGTTCATCGAAACTAGTGTTCATCGTTTGTTCTACAGTAAGACATTAAAGAGGCAGTGTGCATCTCGAGCAGTGAGAGTGACGTCTCCTTCCCCAGGAACCACACTCAGCATCTCGCCGCCGTAGTTTTGAACTGTGTGGTCTGAACACTGTGTTAGTGTTACATTAGATTTTATGTGTTTGTTGTTTGGTGTGATTTGAGTCCTAAATTTTCCCATATAAATTAACAGTAATTGCATATTCACTTTATGCCATTTTGTCTTTTCTAAAGGTTTTATAGGAATCCTCTACTAATGGATAGTGGGGGAAACTTGCATTCAAAGTCTAAGAGACAACTTGGAAATAATTGACTAATAGAAATGGAGTCCATGAACTCATTAGCATCCACCTGTAACTGATCAGTGGCGTATCATGAGAACCATAACTAGTAGATCCTTGGTAATTATACATCTTTCTTTACGTAGCAACAAAGGAGAGAGCGTGAAGCTAGAAGGCAGCAAGAACGTGAGCAGCGAAGGAGAGAACAAGAAGAGAAGAGGCGTCTGGAGGAGTTGGAAAGAAGACGCAAAGAAGAAGAAGAGAGGAGACGGGCAGAAGAAGAAAAGAGAAGAGTAGAAAGAGAACAGGTTAGTTCACAAAGAATGTTCCAACCTGTTCATGACATTTGTTACTTTGTGTGCATGTGCATGTACAGGTGTGTGCGCACACACATAGGTACTCGGGACTTTAGAAGTTTAATAATGCTGAAACATACAGTTGGAAGCACACCAATAAATTTAGTCTCTCATATTTAAAAAAAACGTATAAATCGTTAAACTTTAGAAACCTCTTGAAACCAGCTAAGTCATCTGCAAGTAACCGTTAGTAACACTATACCAGAAAGATACCTTAATATCTCTTCTAAGCTTGGTTTAACTTCTCTGAATTCCAAATATCTGGGTGATAGTTAACTTTGTTACCAACTAAAAGAAATTTCCTATGAGAAAAGCTTGAAATACCAATGGCTAATTGAATATTATAATATATATTTGCATATAGTTCAGTATGTACCTACATAACTTTAGAAAAACTAATAGCATTGTTGTATTAATGTTCAGCTGTAAAAGTCCAGGTTTCAGGTTTCAGTAATATTTTTAGTATTTTATTAATGCCACATACAGTTTTATTTAGAAATTTCCTTTGTTTTCTGAACAACCTATGCAAACAAAAATTGATGTGCCTTCATCTGTATATGTTCTTAGTGTGAATCCAATAACTAACCTCTTTTCCTTTTATGTCTTTGAATTGACCACTCTTTTGTGATGAGCTTTGAATTGGAATATGTACACACATACACACACACTATCCTTTTCCCATTGTAAACAACCTCCCCCACCACTCCTTTCAAAGATACGTGGCCTTTTCATGCAACGCATGGGCCCAGTCATTTGTGGGAAGTTTTCTAGGTCTGGTGTTCCCAGACCAAAGCTTTTAGAATATAGTCATTCCAGGTATTTCTGAATCAGAGAAAGTACAAATGAATGAATGGGAGCAATTTAAATCATATTGGAAGTTCATATTTAAAACTTACAACCCATGGTGTTAGCTTCCATATTTGATTATCCAGCTGCTGTCTTTGATGATAAATTTGTGCCACAGGTTTTCTGAGACTGAGTTCTGTGTGGCTGTCAGTTTTTACTAGGAATTTCAGTGTTGCTTTTTTATCTGTTACTTTATTGGCATTTAACTGCCAGTTAACTGTATAGTGTGTGTTTTATTTATAACGTTTTAGTTATATTTATGCTTAGGGGCTCCAAAGAGGAAAAATTATACAAGCTTTTACGAGTTAAATTGTCCAGGGATAACTCTTACTGTTTGATTTGAATCATAGGTGTGTATGATAGCAATATGCATCTTTACCACTCTAAATGCGGTTGTTAGATTTTTGAAAGCACATCTTCTACACCTTTTCTTTTTAAAAAAGACATCTAAAATTGGCTTATTCTTCTTTCCTTTTTCTCTTACAAAATAATTATTCCCCATGTTAACAGAGCTATATGAAATACAATGTCATTTCTGCATAAATGTGTATGTTTGCGTACATGTATAATTACATCTCTACAGTCGTTGATTATATGTTAGAATCTTTGTAATTTGGATAGGATGTGATTTTTCTAGTTGTGAATGAAGGAAGAAAACAAATGAGTGTTCTATCTCTATCTTTTAAGTTACAGCCTTATTCTACTTAGTTCAAAGGAGAAATGAGCTTGGAGTACCATATTTTTATACAAGTAATGAAAGCATACTTTTTCCCCAAAAAAAACTGTGCAGCCCCTTACACATTTGTCTCCTATGTGTGTTAAGCATGTTAAATGTGTGATTGCATTATATGCAAAAAGTACAGTAATTGTTGGATAAGGCCATTGCTAAGGCATCTATCATCATAGCATGTGTTTTGGAGGGTTAGGGTTAAATGAATGGGATTTGGAGCCCAGGTTAGAACCAAGGTACCTTTTCCAAGATAAACTTCCCACATTGACTTTTTTTTTCTTTTTGGCTAAATTCCCTCTGTAAGATAAAAAAAAAAATTAAGGAAATTTTTATGACATGATTTCTCTTGTTATCTAACATTCTCCCAACAAGAATTGTTGGTTAAGTAAAATTTCTGCTTAACCCACACATACAGCTTTTTTCTTTTCTTTTCTTTCCTTTTTTTTTTTAAAGTGTGCCACAATACAAGTGCATGGTCAGCTGTAGACACTCAAAAAAAAATAATCTGAATTTCGTGATAAAATTTTTCCTTATAGACCCTTTAGAGTTCACTCCCTTTCTAGAACAATTGTTGTTGTTGTTGTTATGTGCCATCGAGTCAAACCCGACTCATAGCGACCCCTCCTTGGGTTTCCGAGGCAGTATCACTACGGAAGTAGGATTGCCCAACCTTCCTTCCGAGGAGTGGCTGGTGGGTTTGAACCGCCAGCCGTCTGGTTAGCAGGCAAGTGTCTTAGCCAGTATGCTACCAGAGCTCCCTCTAGAACAATTAGTTAGTTTTTTTTCATTATTGAAAATGAAAGGAGACTGTTGCTTATATTTCAAACTTTTCAATATTGTTTATCTAATGTTTGAGCCTCACCAAAAAAAAAAAAAACAACTATAAATTGATAGGAAAAATTCTTGGTTCTCATTTCTCAAATGAGGAGTCTGAGAAAATGGGAGGTTGAGGCTTACTAGAGATGATAAAGCTATTGCTTGGTGAGACTGAGATTGCAGACAAGGTCTCCTGATCTCCCAGTCCATTATAATATGCAAGCAATTTCAAGACAGGATTTTACTTCTTTACATGACATACTTTGGAAACGTTTACCAGTCTTCTTTGGAAACGTTTACCAGTCTTCTTTGTGATGGGGATTGACTATCCTTTTCCCATTGTGAACAACTCCACCACCACTCCTTCCAAAGATACATGGCCTTCTTATGCAGAGCCTGAACCCAATCATTTGTGTGAAGTTTTCTAAGTCTGGTGTTCCCAGACCAAGGCTTTTAGAATATAGTCATTCCAGGTATTCCTGAATCAGCAAAAATGCAAATCATTTTTATTTTTCATTTTACTATTATACAGGTTTTGGTTTTAGCTTTCAAAAATTGGTGATCTATTATGCTTGCTATAAATAATAACTAATAATAAGACTTTATTGATCAGAACCATCTGGTTCCTATTTAATTAAACTCTTAATTTCTCTGAAGTCTAGCATCTTTAAGAAGAATGGCATACTCCTTTAAAATCCTGCATTTGTCTATCACAGCTGTGTACTAACAATGCTTTAGAATGCTTTTATGTATATCATGGCAGTGTATATGATCATTTACTAAAGTCTTTAGGTCTTATCGGCCAATTTCAAGGTCTTGAGATAGTCCTTAGCGATACCTTTTTTTTAAAGAAAATTCATCACTAATGAATTACCCCTAAAGACAATTGGGGCAAATAGTTCTTGGTGCTCCATTCAGGTGGTTCTGACTCTTTCCTTTTGGATAAATTGATTGCTGGGTAATTTCTGTGTGACAGGAGTATATCAGGCGACAGCTTGAAGAGGAGCAGCGGCACTTGGAAATCCTTCAGCAGCAGCTGCTCCAGGAGCAGGCCATGTTACTGGTAACGCACTGTATCTGTCTTGTTCTGTAGAATCAGGGCTCATGCATCCCTCTCCTGAGTTGGGCATAGCAGTGGTGATTACCAGACCAGGTTATTGTTCTGGGTTGACAGGCTCAAATGGAGACATCTTTTGTTGTCAGACTGCTTTTGGGAACTTGAGAGGTGGCTTTTATTTATTTGTTTTCTATTAATAAATTGAGTGTTTTTGTTTGGTAGATGGACAGAGTTTCGAACTTGTCACTCAGTGAACAAACTGGAATGCTAAGGGCCGTAGATTCAAAGCACATGCCGTATAATAAAACCAGTCGGGAGTACTAGTTTAGGACTTTCACACAGGGTACTATAAGTATCTTTTGCCACTGAAACTGACATATAATTGAATTCTCTTTTACTCTGTTCAGTGATTATTATCCTTAGCAACAAGCTGTCAGATTTTTCTACAGGTAATTTAAAATCCCAGCCATTTTGCTTTCTTAAAAAGCAAGGGAAACAAAGTATGATTTTTTTTTTTTTAAATGTTGAGAACAAATGCAGAAAAGGAGGTGAGATCTCCAATGTCCCATAGATTTAGTGTTATCCTCTCCCTCTCAAAGGAGTATCGATGGCGGGAGATGGAGGAGCACCGGCAGGCAGAGAGGCTCCAGAGGCAGTTGCAACAAGAACAAGCATATCTCCTGTCTCTACAGCATGACCACAGGAGGCCGCACCCGCAGCAGCACCCGCACTCGCAGCAGCAGCAGCCACCGCCGCAGCAGCAGGAAAGAAGCAAGCCAAGCTATCACGCTCCAGAGTCCAAACCCCATTATGAACCTGCTGACAGAGCTCGAGAGGTAGCTTCTTTCCTTTGTAGCTTAGACTTTGTTCCTATTGTGGTTATTCTCTGGAAAGTAATGGGATAACTCCTAAGACTAGTATTAGTACTAGATTGAGCCGTAAAGATCGGCTAATGATCTACCCTCTTTGTTTGCTAGCTTTTTCTTTGTTTACAGAGACGTGAAGGGGCTTATGTGCGATCTTGTGTCTAGTTAGAGGGCCCGCCCAGAGGATCGCAGTTGCCTCATTTAACAGACCTCAAATGAATTGGAAACTTGAACGGAAGAATGTTTGACAAAATCATTCTCAAAAACATAAATGAAGGGAATGGTCAACTGTTTCTCCAAAAACAAATAGAGATGAAGTGTGCCTATAGCCCATTTTACCGACTTTTCAACTATTGTGATTAGTTATTTACATGGTCTATTCAGGCTACCCAGAACCTTGGAGTAACAAGGATGTGGCAAAGCAGTTAACCATTCAGGGATACTAGGAAGAGCCAAACCAAAAATCCAAATCCATTGCTGTCAAATTGACTCCAACTCCTAGGAACCCTCTAGGACAGAGTAGAACTGCCCCATAGGCTTTCCAAGGCTGTAATCTTTACAGAAGCAGACTGCTACAACTTTCTCCTGTGGAGCAGCCATTGGGTTCGATCAAACCTCTTACTTATTGTAGCTAAGCACTTAACCACTGTGTCACCAGGAAGATAGGGAGTTGATAGGTTCCAGAGTATTTTGAATCCTGGCCTGTAGGTGGCATCCTTCTACTGTGTCTGGCCTTCACAGAGAGTGGATTCTAGGAGAAAGTGTTTTGCTTAGTTTGAAGTGGCTTTATTTTTGGTGGAATGGAATGTGTTTTGGATTTCTGATAATAGTCTTTTAACCCATTAGTTTAGTTGGTTGTTACAGATGAATCTTCTTCTAGGATAAAGTCATATATAATCAGAATTCTGGGCCAAGAGGAGATCTTTGAGGCTGCCTGCTTAATTTTTATCTTCTCAAGTGTTTTCCTTTTCCCAAATCAAATTGTAGTCCTACTTTATGTGCTCCAAACCCCTCTTCTTCCCCAGCTGCCTTTTTCTTAGAATGAAGTTAAACAGAAAAATTTCACTTTAGAGTCCTTACACTTTCAAGCTTTGGTGTCTCTGCTTTCCCCTACTAACAATGAGTTGTGTCTTCTAATTCTCTGATGCAGGTGGAAGATAGATTTAGGAAAACTAACCACAGCTCCCCTGAAGCCCAGTCTAAGCAGACAGGCAGAGTTTTGGAGCCACCAGTGCCTTCCAGATCAGAATCTTTTTCCAATGGCAACTCCGAGTCTGTACATCCTGCCCTGCAGAGACCAGCGGAGCCACAGGTAGCACAGACAGTTCTGCTATGGGTTGAGGAGACATGTGATAGCTCACCAAAGCCAGGGACCGGCTTGTGATATCAACAGTTCGGTTCATTCCACATGGAGAAAAAGATGTAGCAGCAGTAATTTTTACCTCACTTAAAGAGGACGTGCACTCAGTTGATAGAGAAAAGGACTTTTTTTTTTTAAAAAAAGGTTTTTGTTATCTTCGTTGAGGGTAGCTAGATTCAGTGACTTTTTTCCCCATTTATAATCTTTCCCTTCTCTAACTCAGATTAATTTTCATAAATAAGTGCCTCCTTATTCTAATAAGATATTTTAGTTTGGTGTTTAGAAAGTTGGCATTGTAAGTAAATGGAGGGCAAGCTTAGAGTTTTGTTAATACTTTAACATGCCTTTTCTCTCACTCATTTTAAAGAAGGGTCTTTGACCTATGATTTCTGGCTCCTGGCCAGTTCCACAAATGGGCTTCAGAGACCTAGAACTGCCCTAAAATTTCATACGGAATTCTTTGGTTTATTCACATGTGCATAATTTCTGTGGGGGAAAAAAGGCCCTTTTATCAGATTTTGGATTTGGTGAAATCCAAAAAAAGTTTAAGATCCAGTGGGGTAGGATTGGCTTGCCCTGATGTAGGTCAAGGTAAAGGTCAGTGCTTCAGGAAGTCTGCAGCAGCGTGCTGCCTTAGCTGGGTGAGGGAGAGCTGTTGGGCAGTATGCTGTATGGTTAGAAGAGAACCCTCGCTGTCTGGAGAAGACGGTAGACAGCAGAGCTTACCCATGTTGAAAATCTTAAGAGATCCTAACAACACTGATTCCTACTCTTTTCCTAAAAAGACTTAACTTGTAGACATTTTCCTCCTTGTATCTGTGTAATTAGAATATTGGAATAAGTTCTTAAGCTTGAATCACTTGTCACTGGTGTTTGCAAGTGTTGAGGGGCACAGAAGTTCATGTTTTTGTGATAGAAGTAGCTGTGGGTGTCTGAGAAACAAATTCAGAAGAGAATTTGAAAGTATTTTATAATGAATAATCCCCTTGGAACTATAAGAAATGATTTGAGTGAACCACAGCACAGAGGAGTTAAGAAGAATCAGTATTGAAGCAAAGGGTTTGTATGTTGGGGGTGGGGATTGTTACCATGGAATCAGTAGCTTTTTGAGTCTAGAAAAAGCTGGCCCCTTAGCAAATGGGAAACTCCAGATAGTAAAGAGTGGAAGGAAAGCAGGAGAGGGAGGTAAGAGAAAAGAGAAGACAGCAGGATCAGTTGTATGGGTTTGACTATGTTTGTTCTTAATCCTTCCTTAGTATAGATATATTTGAATCATTCCCTAGTATAGATATATTTGAAGAGTCTAGAATATAAGCTTTTGTTCTGAAAGTTAAACTCTCATAAATAGAAAATCTTTGTATGACCACTAACAGTTTGAAAATAAGAGTTCCTGGATTGTGTCAGCTAGTTTTCATAGTTATACTTAGTTAATGCAAGTTGTCTCCTTTTTCCTCCTTCTATTCTGAAGTTGCTTTTGACGCAAACATATACCTATGAAATCGTTCTTTACAGGGGACTTTTCTCCTATAAGGGTATTTATTTTAGAATCCATTTTTTAAAATTATAACTACAAGTATTATTTTAAATTGCATGCCTTTGTCTCAAAAATCTTAAAACATTTCAGAAGTCTGGGAGTCTGTAAATCTCACCTGTAAAATAATAGAAATCATATACCTGGAACTAGTTCTGAATCTTGCATTTGGAAAAGTTGAATCATTTGTGATTTGGTATTTTCTGTTTTCATTAAATACATTGATGTATTAGATATGTAGCTAGAATTTTGTAAATTACAGTATTGAACTATTTAAACCAATGTATAATTTAAAGAAAGTATTTTATAACTTATTTCAAGGATTTTTTTCCCAATTTAAAAGCAACGGTTTTTGAAGGGTCAAGTAAAAGGATACCCCAACAGTAGGCGATTAAGGGAATCCATGGTACTGAATATTTCTAAAGAAATCGCATTTTTTTCTTTCTTTCTTTTTTTTAAACTAGTTTGAAGATGTATGGAAGTAACTCACAGGCGGTAATTTTAAGGTTTGGGAGAGGGAAGGAAGTTTATTGGTGTATTAGAAAAGGTAGATGTCTTTGAGTTAGTATTATTATAATCTCTCAAACCATTAGGGGTTTGTCATTGCTTGTTAAATGTGCTTTTTGGTTGTTATTTGGTCTGCAATCTTAAACTGCCAGGTAACATGAAGATGGATGGATAAGTTTGCATATTTGGCAATGTCCTTTATTTTATAATTTCTCAACCTTTCTTAGATTCTCCTATCTCTCTACTTTGACATAGATATTCATGTAATACTTTGCCTGCCTTTTAGACAGTAGGCCTCTAAGGTTCTTTTAAAACAATCTTCATGTTTACTGCTATCTGTATATGTTTGTCTAGATATTAAAATAATTTTCCTTATAATTGTACCTTTGTTCTCTTCTACCTACTGTGTTCCTCAGACCACTTCTCTTCACTTAAAAGTATAATTATTTTACTGCTTGGCTTACCTAATACTATTCCACCCTCAGTTTGCAATCCCCCTTTGCCAGTTCCTGCTTTGGATTTGGTGTTGACCAGAAAAGCCAGTTTTATGCCTTGAATGTTTTGTGTTTTGTTTTCTTGTAAGGTACAGTGGTCCCACCTGGCATCACTCAAGAACAATGTTTCCCCTGTCTCGCGATCCCATTCCTTCAGTGACCCTTCTCCTCCCAAATTTGCACACCACCATCTTCGTTCTCAGGACCCATGTCCACCTTCACGCAGTGAGGTGCTAAGTCAAAGTTCTGACTCTAAGTCGGAAGTACCTGACCCTACCCAAAAGGCTTGGTCTAGATCAGACAGTGACGAGGTGCCTCCAAGGGTAAGAAGCAGAAAGACAGTCGTGTGCTTCTTTTTCCTTTTTCTTATTTATTCATTTACTTAAATATATATATTTGTTTTAATTAAGGGTGTGATGATGTCACCAGAATCAAAGGGACAATGAAATTTCAAATGAACTTTTTACTGTGGGGAGAAAGTTCCATAGTTAGACAGTTACATTCATCTAGTGGGCAATTAGCTTTTTATAGTTCTTGTTCACTGCATACTTAAACATAAGGGTAGCAAAATGATTTAAGAGTAAATTTATAACAACTATAAATTGAGACCAAATTGAATCATAATTTACTTTAGCAGCTTCTAAGTTTAGACCAAAGCAACAAATTATTTTGCAACACTAACCAACATTAAAATGTTCATAAAAGGGCTTATAAGAAGAAAAAAATAATGCTAATTAACATAAATATTTCAAAGAAAATGATCTTTTTTAAAATTGGGTTTTTTGGTAATTACTTACTGATGGAATTAAACACAGAGGCACATTTTTTTTTTTTTTTCCTCCACTTGGAATTTGCTTCCTCTAAATATTTTCTTGCTTCCTGCCAGTCTCTGCTTCCTGCTGATCCGTTTGTAGATTATTGTCTGGTTTCTTTGAGCTTATTTTCCTGATTCTCACATTATCTCAGCAAAATGCTTTGTATGTCCCTTGCCACCAAGCTTCAGCCCAAACATCATGTATGTTATAGAAGTCCAGAAAGGCTGTTTGTACTGGTTCCTTAGATGCCTTTGATTAAATTTTCTCTTCCCATTATATCTTTGAAGGGCCAGAGAAGGATTTAGGGGTGGGAGTGGGTTGGTGATAGTAAGGCTAATATAATTAGGACTGCTTAAGAAATGTGTTTTGGTTGAGAAATCTTTTCTTCTCTTCATGTTTTCAATTATTTAATTGCTGTATGTTCCACCTGAAGGTTCCTGTCAGAACAACGTCTCGTTCCCCTGTTTTGTCCCGTCGGGATTCTCCACTGCAGGGCAGTGGACAGCAGAATAGCCAAGCAGGTCAAAGAAACTCCACAAGGTAAAAGTAACCATATGCAGCTAATTACAAAAAAAAAAAAATCAAACCCACTGCCATCGAGTTGATTCCAACTCACTGTGACCCACATTAGGTTTTCAAGTCTGTAAGGTAAAAACAGAAAGTTAAGAACAGATTTAGTCTCCTGTGGTCTTATGTCATCTGTTTTTGCGGCATTGCTCATGATCATTTAAACTTTGGAGCAAAGAGATTATCAGTTGGAAAAGAAAAACGACCATAAATTTCATTAAAAAACGAAACCAAACTCACTGCCATCGAGTCCATTCTGACTTATAGCACCCCCCATTGGGCTTCCAAGGCTGTAAATTTTTACTGAAGTAGATCACTCTGTCTTCTTTCTGTGGAGGGGCTGGTGGGTTTGAACCACTAACTTTCTGGTTAGCAGACAAATGCCTTATCCACTACTCCACCAGAGCGCCTCAAAATTCATTGGCATGAGTAATATAAAATGAATCTGCAAAACAAGAGGATCTGAATTCGGTTAGTGTATAGTAGTCATTTAAAAATTAGAACCACTAGCCCTGTAAGAATAAGTAGAGGAAAACAGGGAAGAGAAACTAGTTCTAAGAGAACTTTAATCTGAGAGAGCTTATTATCTAAAGGGCTTTGTAAGGTCTTTGGAATACTATACAAATCACAGATCACTGAAGAAAGTCAGTTGACTGACAGTCTGCAGTAACTAATAAATTAACCAAATAATATCATTTGTAGGTTCTAGAGCTGCTGTGTCTAATACAGCAGCCATTAGCCACTTGGGGCTGTTTAAATTTGAATTAAATTAAATTAAATAATAATTTAAAAATAATTAAAAGTTCATTTCCTTACCAGTGCTAGCCACTTTTCAAGTGCTGAGTAACCATATGTAGCTAATTACAAAAAAAAAAAAAAAACCTACTGCCATTGAGTTGATTCTAACTCACAGTGACCCACATTGGTTTTCAAGTGTGTAAATCTTTATGGAAGTAGATTGCCTCATCTTTGCACAGGACAGCTGGTTGGTTTGAACCACCTGCCTTCTGGTTAGCAGCCAAATGCCTTACCCACTATGCCAGCAGCACTCCTTGTATAGTTAGTAAGTGGCTATCATATTACGCAGTGCAGATAATAGAACATAGAGGAAATAAAAATCATTATCTTGAGTGTTTTATAACTTGACCATCACTGCACATCTAAAGTTAGACATCTGTCTGTACATTAAATCTTGGTATAATTTGAGTAGTGAGCTGGATGATAATCCAGTAGATACAGAGAACCCTCTTATTCCTTAAATGACCAATTGGACTATGGTATTCTCCTGTGATTAAATTTATGTCATTAATTCTTACTTAGGAGCTCTGGTAGCATAGTGCCTAAGGCACTTGACTGCTAACCAGAAGGCTGGCGGTTCAAACCCACCAGCCACTCCTCGGAAGGAAGGTTGGGCAATCCTACTTCCGTAGTGATACTGCCTCGGAAACCCAAGGAGGGGTCGCTATGAGTCGGGGCCAACTCGACGGCAAATAACAACAACAACAACAACAACAATTCTTACTTGGCAAACTTGTGGTGTGGGTATATGTATGGCCAGACATACATCATAGCCCATACTTTCTGTAACATTTCAACATGACTTTTGCAAAGGAATATACTTTAAAGGTGTCAGTTTTTGAGAGCAGTGATGGATAAGTGAGCAGTCTGAAAACAGAATATAACTTTGTGTGCGTATAAATGAATGGAATTTTTATGATAATAAATCCAAGTTTGTAGCTGTGACAGAAACAGTGATACTTTTAAACTGGACAAGTAGTATTTTCTTTCATACCTAGTGAGGCTTTTTCGTCAGCTAATGATAGAATATCATTTAGGATTCTTTAGTTTGTTGTGAAATGAGGTAAAATCTGTGAATAATGTAATATTTGGTAGATTTAATGTTAAATACTGTTTTTCTCAGGTTTATGTTTAAACACATTGAATACATACAATGTGTGTGTTTATAATTTGATTGTACATCTGGGAATAATGCATTAACTCTTCTGTTTTCTTTTTTGCTCTAACAGCAGTATTGAGCCCAGGCTGCTATGGGAAAGAGTCGAGAAACTGGTGCCCAGGCCTGGTAGTGGCAGCTCCTCGGGGTCCAGCAACTCAGGATCCCAGCCTGGGTCCCACCCCGGGTCTCAGAGTGGTTCTGGGGAGCGCTTCAGAGTGAGATGTAGGATGGCTTTCTTTTTCCCTTTTTCCATTGGTGATTGGGGCTGTGATCAGTATATTGGAGGTCTTTATCTGTGGGAAAGTACCTGTGGTTTGCACACATCCGTACTTCACAAAACAATATTCCATTGTGAGTTGCTAATAACACTAATGGTAATCATAATTTTAATAATAGAGAGCTAACTTTTGAATGCTTACATGGTCCTAGCACTGTGAGCCCTTTACATTTAATCTTCACCATGACTCCCAGAGAGATTTATTATATTCCCATTTTCTGCACTAAACTGCAATGTAGTGAGATTAAGTAATTTGTCTAAGTAATTAGCTAAATGTCAGAGCTGAGATTTGAACATACTTCTTTCTAACTCTAGCGCCTATATTGTATCAGTACTGGTGATGTTAACCTACTCATATAATAGATTAGTGAAATGCTCTCTATTATGTTGATCGTATGACATAGCTAGATAATGATTGTGAGCACATGATAAGTAGACCCTGATAATGGAGGTTTCCAAGTAGGGAATCAGATAGACTCCCAGAGATCTCTTAGGTCCCCGTTTGCCCTGTAGTTTCAGACCTGTGTATGGAGACCCTGTAATGAGTGAGGCTAACAAAAGTGGGGGTGTGGGTGGAAAGAATGGCAACAAAGGGCTTGATAGGCTAGAACAGCTTTGTTCTAAAAGCACTTGGAGTAAATTAATATACATTCGCCTTTCTTTGTCTCTTTTGAACTTAATAGCATCATCTAAATCTGAAGGCTCTCCATCTCAACGCCTTGACAATGCAGCAAAAAAGCCTGAAGATAAAAAAGAAGTCTTTAGACCTCTCAAACCTGCTGTAAGGATTATATAGAATCATTTTTACTTATATGAGGCTTGAGTGAGATCTTTCTGTTAGAAATGTATAGTTGACAGACCTACAGTCCTTTCGGTTGGCTCCTTGACAGATTTGAGGAAATAGAGGGAATGACGTAAATCCCAGACACATTTGTACCTCCCTGCCTTGTTTGATTTATGTCCTGTATTATATAGCACTTGATAGAATAATACCCTTTCTAGTGTTTCAGTTATACATTTTGTGTATAGTCAGCCTTATAGAGAAGCACAATACAATGTGTAGTTTTTGTTTAATGAAATTTCCTCCTAAGAAAATACTAAAAGCCAAACTGACTGCCATCGAGTCCATTCCCACTCATAGCCACCCCTTTTGGGTTTCCAAGGCTGTAAATCCTTATGGAAGCAGATCAGCTTATTGTTCTTCTGTGGCGAGGCTTAAGAAAATAGACAGTTAAAAAAATAGAGAAAAGAAAAGCGTTTTTATATATTTGCTTGGCATTAACCGTCACTTATTCTTGATGAGTTTTCACAGTATTGGCTTTTAGAATAGTTTTTTAAAATCACCTTCTTAAACTTATTTGTTGCTTAAATTCTACCTTTTGGTACTTGGGAAGATAGCTGTGATTGCTTCGCATGCTTTTCCTTTAATCCTTGTAGAATGTAACTGTGTACACATTGTGGGATTTTAAATCTGTCAGAGTTTTGATTTCCTGCTTGAATTGACTTCTGTGCTTCTCCCCTCTTGTCTTCTTTCTACCACGCTTCCTCATACTGTGCATTCTTCATCAATGATGGCTTCTCGGACTCAATGAAATCCCACTCTACTGAAGGGTGAAGTGGTAAGCCCCATCTCTTAAGACTTCTGCATCACAGCAACATTCTAACTGCCTTTTCAACTGAGCTTAGATTCAGTTTATATTTCTTTTCCTTCCTCTTCTTGCTTTTTGTTTTCTTTTCTAGAATTTAAAAACTTGAAACTTCTGCTTCAGCTTATTTTTAACACACACAATTTGTTACATGCATTTTTTTTTAAATTTATGAAGTACATCTTTTCAGTAACTTCTTAAAAAGCTGTGATCATGAAATAATAGCAAGACTCAGGATCCAGCACTTGATCACTGTTATTTCAGAGGCTCATGCTCAAAGACAAGACAGCTTAACTATGGAAGAAAGGAAAAATAAGTTAGAACTACTAAAAAAAACAAAAATAGCTGCTTTTTAAAAAGTCACTATTATAAAGTAAAACTCTCAAGTGGATGTAATTTGGGCTTTTATATAGAAATGTGGCACATAAATAATAATCCATTTTAAAATTAGGTTAGGCTGATTGGTCGAGTCTTAAAGTATCTCAGAAGTGTAAAGGAAAAAGAAGTCCTTTAAAAATAACATTTAATGGGTTCCCCCCACTTCTGATGTCCGTAGTGATTGAGGGTATTGATGGGGAAATACAATTAAGGCACAAAGGCAGAGTAAAAGTTACCTCGCTTCCTGCTCACAGCAACCACTTAGTCATCACCTCTTTAAATGAATGTGGCAAGGTGTTGACAGTTGGCAAAACAAAATGTGTTGAGTGGTGCACTGGTGCTCTTCTCTTTCACATTTTCTATAGGTTTGAAACTTTTCAAAATAAAAATGGGAATTAAGAGTAAAAACTTTGCGGGTGGGGATACAGCATCTTTAAAACCAAGCCTATTTAATTAGATGCTTACTTTTAGATAATCCCCTTAGAGAATACTTTACAACAAAGTTCAGGGATCTTTCTGCATATATAGATTGATATAGTATGATATATTTGGAAAAAGACAAACCACTATCAGACTATCAGAAGCAGATTATTAAATATTTTTTTGTTAGGGAGCTTGAACTGTATTCAACATCTTTGATAGTCTTTTCTATCAGAAGCCATAAGAGCTCACCTGTACACAAACCTCTGGTAAATACAAAACAGTTTTATAGAACTGACACTGTATATTTTACTGATAAGTTACAATAAAGGGCTTCTGATGTTTTCGGTTTTCTTCCCACTCTCTTTTTCCTTTGTTTCATTTTGTCTTTTCTGCCCTGTGCATTAGGACTTGACGGCACTGGCCAAAGAGCTTCGAGCAGTGGAAGATGTGCGACCGCCTCACAAAGTGACCGACTATTCCTCATCCAGTGAGGAGTCAGGGACAACAGATGAAGAAGATGATGATGTTGAACAAGAAGGGGCTGATGAGTCCACCTCAGGACCAGAGGACACCAGAGCAGCGTCAGTCCTTGGTGTATTTTAAGAGAGGATGAGAGTGTTCCCTCCTAGCCTTTTTTCCACTAGGAAGCAGCCATCATTTTTCTAGGCTTATGTTTCCATAAAAGTTTAATATTCAGTTATCATGGATTAAGCCGCAGACAGCCTTTTGAGTTTTCACCCCTTCTCTTTGTTTGCAAACCATGTGTATTTCCTTGCCTTCCCTCAGCACCCCACCATGTACATTATTTTTTCTAATTTCAGGCTGTGATAAAAGGGAAATTTCAGTTGGGTCTAACTACTTTAATTAAGTGTTCTACGTTTTTGCTTAAAAACCAACTGAGCTGACAGGAAATTCCTTGTTAAAGGGAAAAAGCTATGGCCTTGCTTTCCTCATGTCCATATCCTGATCTCATCTCATGACTGAGAAGGTGAAAAATTCAAACAGAATCTCCTAGACCTGTGGGATTTGAGCCTTAACTTCTGGATTTTGTCTTAATAGGTCATCTCTGAATTTGAGCAATGGTGAAACAGAATCAGTGAAAACCATGATTGTCCATGATGATGTAGAAAGTGAACCTGCCATGACCCCGTCTAAGGAGGGCACTCTAATTGTCCGCCAGGTACTTAAGCCTTCTCTGTTGTCAGAGGCTGAGCTTTTCCTGTAGTCATTAACCCACTTGCTCATTCACTCACTCATGCTGTTTCTACATCATCATCTGTTTCCATGTTAACAAGACCCAGAGGGTAGAGTTTCCGGGGGCTAGGGAGGCAGGTGTGTGCTGCATGCGAAGAAGTTAGCTAGTAGTCTTCCACCCCATATTGCTGCTCCTCTGCATGTTTTGCGGCAGCCCTCATTCAAGCACCACGCTGAGTCTCACAGTCTGTGTCTGAACAGTAGAAAAGCCACAGGGAGTCCTTAAACAGACTCACAGAGTGAGGAAGCAAAACCGGAGTCCATAGCAGAGCAGCCATACTTGTTCTGCAGAGAGCTTTCGACTCTGAATGTCTGCGGTGCTGAATCGGGGAATGATGAGTTAGGCAGAAGCCGCTGAAGTGTGGGTGAGCCTCATCACGATATTAGAGAGAGACTCCTAGGACAGAAGGGTTGGGAGGTCGCTTGTTGTGTGATTAAGTGTGCACACCCAGATGTGCTCAGTTTGGATTACTGAGTTTTACAACTGTCTCTTCATTTCTTAGCTTAAACTTTTAAAAAATATCATGCTTATTTAAATAGAATAGGATGCTCATCTAGTATTTGGACTTCTCCCTGAGTGTGTTTGTTGCTCTGGCCAATGTATTTGGATAGAGAGTGGGAAGAATGTGGAAAAGACCAGGATTCAAAGACGCAACAAGGGTACTCTCTAGAGCTCTAAACAGAAAGATTTTTTTAAAAAATAAAGAAAAAGTGAGATAGTAGTCTTGGTAACAGAAGCTAGTGTGGCAGATAAACCAGATTAAACACTCGCTGCTTGAACCATGCGGCCACCAGATGAGGTACTCTGAATTCTGTTGGCTCAGTTTAGGCATTCAGTGAGGAACTGTGAGCAATACAGGCAAATTTCCCTCGGTTTTTCCTTGATAATGTAACATAATTTGAAAGCCACACGACACCTTAAACAGCTTTCAGTAGGATCATAGGCAATGTCAGCAGCACTTGAACGAGACAAGTGTGCCTGTTTTTTCTGCAGAGTACAGTTGACCAAAAGCGTGCCAGCCATCATGAGAGCAATGGCTTTGCGGGTCGCATTCACCTCTTGCCAGATCTCTTACAGCAAAGCCATTCCTCCTCCACTTCCTCCACCTCCTCCTCCCCATCCTCCAGCCAGCCGACACCCACCATGTCCCCACAGACACCCCAGGACAAGCTCACTACTAATGAGGTATGTCTCACACCACAGCTGGCTGCTTTCCTAGGGTTAGACCAGCACTGCCTAGTAGCTAGTTTGCAGAGGAGATCTTTCCAGCGCCCCTCACCCCTTCTGTCCCCACCCTGCTTTCTTCTGTCACCTTCCCTTTCCCCCATCCCCTAAGTAACATGTTTCAGATCTGCATACAAATCCCTTAACCTTAGATCAGTTTCCCTCCAAACTTGCCAGTTCACTATTTACTTTTCTCTAGATAAGTTTAGTTGCATGGCTTTCTTTATTCAATTTATTTAAAAAAAATTAAAATAATTGCTGTGTTCTCAGACCCATTATATATTTGGCATGAAATTCTTGTAGTAATTTGTGGAACCTACTTTTTTTATTTTGTTTTGTTTTGTTTTGTTTTGTTTACTATTATTTTATATCCAACAAATAAAGGACAGGAGAATTTGGTTAAGTAGACTGGCCTTATCTGTACAAGCTTGTTGTCCTGTACAGGGGCCTTCTTCAAACAGGGCTGAATTGTTTTCTTTTTTTTGTTTTTTCCGGCCATTTTTGGGGAGGGTTTTGGTTGGTTACACTTACTTGTTTTTGCCATCCCTGTTAAAAGGATTTCTTTCCTTGAAATTCACAATCACTCAGAGTTTAAGAAGAAGCCAAATGCTTTTCGGGAAACATAGAAAATTAGGATGTTAAGCAAGAAGGGCAAAGGTCTGTGAGTGCTTTTCATTTTCAATTTTGTACGGGAAATCCTGTGTGCTTGTTCGAAGGCTTGACTGTGGTGCACGGCCTGGGTGCTAGCTGGGTGATCCTTGCTCTTGGAACAGGGTTATGCCCCGAGCGCAGTACCAGATCCCACCTTGAGCACTCTGCACTGAAACAAGTGATTTGGTTTTACGGGAGGTTTGAATTAAATGCATTTCCCTAATAGTTGAGAGAGGTTGAAACTGACATGTAGCTTCAGCCAGTGGTGTCAATGCAAACATTTAACTGCCCACCTGCTCCTATCTTGGTTCCCTTGTTAGAAAGAATCAGAATAATCCTCTCCCCTTCAGGAGCAGGGGCAAGTTGACTGCTTCCAAGGCAGGGTCGGCATCAGATTGGCCATCGGCTGGATTGGCCACTGACTCATGGTTCTGGGGAGGGAAGCCTGCAAGGAGGCAGATGTGTCAGGTGAGAAGAGTGCAGCCTGGTGAGCTTAGGCGGGTGGGGGCTGTAGGAGAGTGAGGAGTTCCAGATGCTGGGGGGAGGCAGGGGGCGGAATGGTCCCAGATGAAAGCCACTTACTCAGACATTTTCTTTTTTCTCCCGTGATATATCTCACCTACACTCACATTCCTCTTTATATTTATATTTTAAACTTTGCTCCATTTTGCTCTAATGTACAGTATTGTACTATAACCCTTAACTCACTAAACTGGCAAGTTTATTTTTCTGTTTGTTTTGCTTTAATTGTCATTACATTTTCACTTAACAATTTGTTTCACTTTCTTTGTGTTTTTTTTCTTTTTGTCTTAAGTTACATGATTAACCAAAACACTAGTGCTCCTAAAAGAACAGAAGGATATGCTTTATTTTGTCGTTTGCACCTTTCACTAATGAGCCCTTGTTTGAAATGGGTTTGATAGTTATGTACCTAAAATGATGGCAGCCAAAGCTTCTGTAGCTTTCTGGCAAGAGGCTCAATTTAAAACAAAGAAAATTAAGATTTGCCAATATGCCCCATAGATTAATTTTATTTTTTTGTGCAAGAGGTAAAATTAGAAATTGGTGAATTGAGATCAAGACGCTCAGCCCTGCTTTAAAAGTTTTCATTATACTTATTATTTCTTAAAAACACCTAGAGCATGAGATATAGATTGTATTCATAGCTTGCAACATTTCTTGTTTTAGATGATAAATACATATCTCAGAAAGGAGATGTGACTCCTCCTATGGTTCCAGGTTAAATGACCTGTCCCTGGGGCTGTGGCACACCCACATTGGGAGAGCCTTTAATGCATTTCTGGGAATTAATGCAAGAGGTGCAGGGGTTGTGTAGTGGGAAATAGTGTAGTATAGAAGTGGATTGAAAATGTTTTTTAATATTCATCTTTTAATGTCATTTGTATTAATAAAATTGAAATTTACATTGCAGACTCAGTCCGCTAGTAGCACACTCCAGAAACACAAATCTTCCTCCTCCTTTACACCTTTTATAGACCCCAGATTACTACAGATTTCTCCATCTAGTGGGACAACAGTGACTTCTGTGGGTAAGTAAAGTAGCAACAAGAAAGCAGCTGAAAAGCAGGACTCACGTTGAGTTGCTCTTTAAAGTGGCTTAGGCATGGCATAGTGGTCGTTTGCAGGCACAGACTTTGGATACAGAAAGGATTCCCATCACGCTTGTATTACCTTATTTGCAATGAACTGCATAGTCTATTTCCTTTTTCCATACACATTTCTTACAGATTTCTTTTTCCTTAACGAAGTGTTGGTTATGGCATACAAATATTTACTTGAGATAAAGTTGGGGAGGGAAACATGGACCGTGTTGGTGTGTATGGAAAATAATTTCAAATGTGCTGTGTTTTAGTGGGATTTTCCTGTGATGGAATAAGACCAGAAGCCATAAGGCAAGATCCTACCCGGAAGGGCTCAGTGGTCAATGTGAATCCCACCAACACTAGGCCACAGAGTGACACCCCTGAGATTCGTAAATACAAGAAGAGATTTAACTCTGAGATTCTGTGTGCTGCCTTATGGGGTAGGTATCTTGCTGTTACTCTCTGACCCTTTTATTTCCATTCTGAGCAATACGGGCTGTTTTTATTGTGATTTAGGTGAAAGTTTACAGAGCAAATTGGTTTTCCATACAGTAGTTCACATACAGTTTGTCTCATGACATTGACTGCAATTTCCTACAGTGCAGCAGCTTTCTTCCCACTTCCTTATGGGCTGGTTTTTTTAAAAGCAGTATTATTTTGAATAGTTTGGGACCTTTTTTGAAGGTTTGTTGGCAGATAAAATGGAAGGCTTTCTCTCTTGACTATAACTTTCACCTTCTCCTGTAGGCTCATTAAGAGAACTGTTAGTGTGTGTGCTTGCACTTGTTGCAGCAATCACATTCTGTTAAGATACTTCTTCACATAAAGAAGAAAAGTAAAAAGATGAGACAGGCATTGGTCTATATTTATTGGGAAAATGAAGAAGATCACTGAGATGTTTTTCTTTAAATGTTTCAGTTGGGATTCTGAGTGAGGCTTTTAAAAGTATGCCACTTACCAAAAGTCTACAAAAGGAGAACCTTGAGCTGACCTTACCTCTTGAATACTTGTGATGTTTGTATGGCACTCTTCAAACTTAAGATACCATGAGAAGAGGGAATTGCTTTTAAGAGTTTGCTGTGCCCAGAATGCCACCATCTTGCATTCTAAAACTTGCTTTTGTGTACTCCCTAGTCTTTCCAGTTCCCACATGCTTACTGATTTATCTTCAATAATCTTTTTTTTTTTTTTGGTGGGGGGCAGCGGGGATCAGCAGACTTCTATTATCAGCGCAGTCACCTAAAGTGGAAAGCTTCAAACCCAACTCTTGACTCTTCTTTCTTCCCTTTACCCATTTCAATCTGTATTCAAGAATGTATTAAATCCTTGCAGGGTTTTTCAAATCCATCCACTCCCTTTCATTCCCACTGCCTGTGCCCTATTTGGGCCTTGTCACTTGCAGGTCACAGATGCTGGCTGTGGCCTACCTTGTTTATAATTTTATATCATATTCCTCCACTTTTCAATGAATCCTGTCACTCCTTGTTGCTTGTCAAATTAAGGTTTTGTTATTCTGGAATTTTGAGCTCTTTCCAGCTTTATCTCCAACTCTACGTTATTCTGTACAGAATGCCTGTATCCTAGCCCAACTGAGCTTTGCTTGCTGTCATTTAAGCATTACTTTTTCATTGTAATGCTTTCTCCCATGGATTCTGTAGCTGTAAACTCAGTCCTTGAATTGCTGGCCTGTCTTGAATACTTCATTTCTTCCTAAATGCGTTTTGATTTCTCTCCCACCTCAGTGTGACCTTGGCTCCTCCTCTAAGCTCTCCTTTCACTTTCTCTGCCACTCATACAGGATCGTATTCTGTCTCACCGCAGGATGACTGTACTTATTTCTCCTTTTTAAAAACTCCTTAGTGGCATATAATCTGTGTTAGCCATTTTTGTTGTTGTTTTTCTCTGCAACCCCAACCATAGTACACACATAGTAGGTACAGAGAGATATTTGAACTGCAAATGATAAGAGAAATAGAAACAGAAACTTATTTTTCACTTGGGGGGTGAGAGATAGCCAAGAAGTGTTTCCATAACAATAGCACAAGCTAGGATATGATTTATTGTCTAAATTGCTTATATAAAAAGTGAAAGATTTGGAGTTGAGCTAAAGCTGAAGTCTTTGTGGGCTAAAGTGGTGTGTAATCCTTTGATAGGCCCTGAAGTGCATTTTGACTTTGTGGAAAGAAGAACATGACCTTCCCAACAGAGACCCAGCATTTGGGCTCAGCAGTGCAGAGCAGGCAGGGCTGACATGGTCATGGTATACTTTATACATCAGGGTTTGACCCCAGGAGAAAGATGTCTGTAATGACAGCTCTGAGAAAGAAGCATTTTTTGAGAACTGCTGAGTTCACTAATGTGTGTTGATACACATCCAGATGGGAATTTTGTTAGAAAATCAGGGACAGGAAGAACATTTATGTGAGAGGAAAGGATGGGGAATGTGTTCCTATATGTTCCTGACAGGGATGGAATTTGGAGCCATGGTGGACTGGAGGGTAGAAGATGAACAAATGATAAGTAGAAGTGATCACAAAGGGAGAGTCAGAGAACCATTAGGATAGTACGGCGGAGAGTCAGCATGTGAACACAATGTAAGAAGATGAAGTGGTTAGCAGTATTGGAAACTGCAGAAGTCAAAAGAGATTGACGTTCCTGAAAACCCACCTCATTTGGCCGTTTAGTCATTGGTGACCATGACACCAGTCTTCTGGTACATTGATGGCAGAGGAGGTCACATTGCCAGGGGTTTAGGAGAGCTGATGAGGAAGTCAATACAGTAAATGTAGAAGTTTTAAAGGAAAATAAGGTGTCATTTAAAGAGAGGATTTAGAAAAATGGGAGTGAATCAAGATAGTAATTCCAGAAATAGCAGGGATTGGGTTGGTTTTATATCAGCAAGAAATGACTTCAGATGATACAAAAATTGAAGGGAGGAGCCTAGTGAAGCATAGTTGACCAAGGTTAGGATAAGCCTGTAAAAAATGGTTATCTGTACATGGAGGGGTTAACATTAGAGAAAAAGAGCACGGAGAAGGAGTAGATGAGGATACAGATACTGGGTTAATGTTATAGGACAGTTAAGCATCCGAACAGCCTCAGATAGGGCAGCAGCCTCAGTCTTCTGAAGTGGGTTGGGAGTGTAGGTCCTCTCTTGGGCAGAATGACCATATACAGATCAAGAAAGATCTGGGCAGCTAGCATTGATGGAGCACTGCTGTGTGCCATGCACTGTGCTTGGCAAGTGGTTTGTTTCTCTGTTAGTTACGGAAGTGGGAGGCCCACCAAGAGGAAGGGACTGTGTTCCACTATGTGTGGGTGACAAGGCTCATTGGAGACTCGAAGCCTGAACAGCAGAGGGCAGTCTGTCAAGTCCTGTGGGGAAAGTAACATTCTGTGGTACACTACCCTGTCTCTTGAAGCAGGCCCTTATAGTTTATTGCCATACTTGGGAAAATGTCAGCTGTACAAGCAATTGCATTAGGCTCTTAAGAAAGCATGTTTTGTTCTGAAGTCATGCTTCTGAACTTAAAAAATAAATTTCCACGTCCTTTTTCAGAGTACTGTTAGAGGTTTTGACTTTTTTTAAAAAACTAGAAAATGAGGGAAGGAGAAAAGTTTTGGTAATGCTTACTTACAACTTAGCCATCAGGTGTATTTTTTGATAAACAGACAATGGTAGATGTTTCCCAGTTTATACATAGGGTATTTGGCCTTTAGTTTTTCATAATCAGCCACATTAGCAAAGCTCTTGCAAAGGGTTTAAAAAGACATTTAGTTATGTCCAAAGTGGAGTCACATCATTTTGTTCATTATTAAAGGCCTTTCATGGGAGTAGTTATATAATAAAATGATTAAATTATGTCCATATATGATAGTCCTTTAGAAATCGTTAATCTGTATTTAGTAGGTGAGGTAATTTTCATTCAGAGTATTTGTACTTGGAAGCTGTCTTATTTTGTTATTTTTCTAATGTCTTGAAAATGCAGGGCTCCATTCTGCTTTTCATTAATGAAAATTCTTATTTCTATTAACCTTTTCAATGCCTCTGATAGAAGAGACTATCTCTAGCTTTTGTTTTTAGTGGAACTTTCCATTTTTATCATTATGTTAAAAGAATAAATAGATAATTTAAGGTTAAAATATGTTCCTGTCAATAAATGTATTAGAGATGCTCCTTAGGTAGGAACACATCAGTGTTGAATTTTCCTCAGCTGTTCGTGGGAGCTGCCATCGGTCCCTTATAAGTTAAGTTAAAGCTAATCACCTTAAAGACTACATCAACCCAGAATTTTTTTTTTTTTTTGCTATTAGAACCATCATCAGACAAGGAAAGAATATTCCTAATACATTATAGCATTCTTTTGGAATGATAAAATACACACATTTGCATATGCCAACCATTGTTAGATGGATTAATTCTTATATACCTTCCTAGAAAAAGCTTAAAGTGAATATTCTTTTTTTTTAATCATCTTATATAATGAACTTTTTTTTCTTTTTAATTGCCATGTATTTTTTTTAATAAGGCAGATTTTTCCCTCTTTGAAGCCAGGATTTTTTTTGACACGTCTTTTTGAACATAATTGTTTCCATTGTTATGTTCATAGTGAATTTTCTATGCTTATATCAGTCTTTTGCCTATTTCATAATTTATCATAGAATATAAAGGAAATTTTAAAGCATGTGTTGTAGAGATCTTAGCCCTTTCTCCCAGTTGCAATTCTTAGTGCAGCTTACCTGTGAACATCTTAGAATGCCTGGGGTGTGGGGAGGGGTGCTAATAATAAGCATTGTAAATTTTAATTATATCTAACAGCTGAAGGTAGAAAAAGAATATTAAAAATTTGTGACTTGCAACTTAATTTTTTGATAGGCCCATAATTTCAAGATTGTAATGGTCTAATATAGCCTGTATATTCTTTTAACCGTTAGCACTTGATACTTCACAAAAGTTATAAAAAGTTCTTGGAAACATAACATGGAGAATTAGAAAGGTACAGGTAGACTGTAAGTGCCAAAATATCTGCAATTTTTGTGTATATGAAAAGATTTTTTAGTTTTATCTTTTATTCCTTTATTTCTTCATACTGTGAAATCTTGAGATTGATGTTTCCATGGTATTGATTTTTTAAAACCAAAAATAATAGATCGCACACACCTTATGGTTTGTTATTACCAGATTCTTGACACAGATATTTTTTTAGTTACATAGTATTGAAGATTGACCAGGGAAGTACTGAAATATTACACAATATGAGACCTTTGGAAAGGGCTCTTTGGAAGCGGCTCTGTCAGGAAAGTTTTTCCTTTCCTGTATTTTTTAAGCTATTTAAAATTAACTCATCTAAGTATGTTCAGGAAAAACACTATGAATAATGTCCAAATAAAGTCTACATTGATAGAGAGTTAGCCATGGTAACCTCAAAAGTGGCTGACCTCAAAAGTAAAAGTACAGAAAAATCAGAGAAGTGTTTATATACAACATACCTCATTTTATTGCACTTTGCAGATACCATGTTTTTCACAGATGAAAAGTTTGTGGCAACCCTGCACTGAGCAAGTCTATTAGAGCCGTTTTTCCAACACCCTGTGCTCATTTTGTCTCTCTTCGTCACATTTTGGTAATTCTCGCTGTATTTCAAACTTTTTCATGATGCTCTGGCACACTGAATGGACTACACTGTGGTGTAAACATAACTTTTATGTGCACTAGGAAACCAGAAAATTCATGTGACTTATTTATTGTGATAGTTGCCTTATTACAGTGTTCTGGAACCAAACCCACAGTATCTCTGAGGTATGCCTGTATGTTAAATATCAGTTTAATTTCCCTTATACTAATAATAAATGTTTTTCATTGGTCAGCAGTTTTCTCTTTTAACATTAAGTAATTACTTGATGTATATTTCTATTAAAGAATGCTTTCTTGCTTATAAAAGCAAGAACCACTAAAAACTCTTAAGGCCATGAGCTCTAATTCAAAGCTATGTTGTTCTCTCATTTATTAAATATTAGTGTCATCTATAGCTGCACTGTCCATTATAGTAGCCACTATAATGGCTAGCCATATTTTAATTAAAATTAAAATTGAAAATTTTGTTCTTCATTCATACTAGCCACATTTTAAGTGGTTGATAGCCATGTGTAGCCATTGGCCATTGAATAGGACATGCAAAAAAAAGAACATTTTATCATAGCAGAAAGTTCTGTTGGGTAGTGGTAGTCTTAGAAGTTGCAAACTAAAAATTTTAATTACAGATAGTAGAGGAAGCCATATGCATTTATATGCCTTCTTTTTCCTTATGTTGTATACAGAGAATTACTTTTGAATTTTATTTTAGAGACTAAGTAAGGATTTTTGTATACCTATTTTAAAGATCGTTCTGGGTGGGAAGCAGATAGGTAACTGAATATTCAGGCATTCCCTTTATCCCAGAATTCTAGAGGCATCCTTCAAATTTTCTAAAGCTATTTCCTGGTTTGTCAGGCTCTAACAAACTGTCTTAGTAAAATAAGAGTAGGCAGAGCACCCCTGATGGGCAGAGGTCTAGCTGAGACACAATGCACAAGGGTGCTCTTATAAAACAGATTATTACTACAAGGAAGAAAGAGACCTGAGAACGTTTATCAGATCACACTATTTATCAGGAGCTGCACATGTCTGTCCCTAAAATTCATCATTTCTTTACATTTTTTTTTAATTTTCTGAGGACTCCATGTAATGGTTTTTTGATAGTGCAAAGCCCACAATACTTCGATATATTTGTAATTATTGTCCATGTGTATCTAACAGTCTGTGACTTGCTACAGTTCTTACTCGAGTTTGTATAGCAGTGATAGTATACGTAAGTGTAAACTCCAGGCTTTGAGGTGGCGTAGTGCCTAAGGCATTTGACTGCTAACCAGAAGGCTAGCAGTTCAAACCCACCAGCCATTCCTTGGAGAGGTGATTGGGCAATCTACTTCCATAGAGATACCACCTCAGAAACCCAAGGTTGCTATGAGTTGAAAAGACTTGATGGCAGTGAGTTAGGATTTTTTTTTTTAAGCACCTCAGAAAGGAGCTGTTGTGGCTCAGTGTCTAAGGTATTGGACTGCTAACCAGAAGGTCGGTGGTTGAAACCAACCAATTGCTCTACAGAACCAATTGCTTTACTTCCATAAAGATTTACTGCCTCAGATACCCACTGGGGGTCGCTATGAGAATCAAAATTGACTCGATGGCAGTGAGTTTGGAGTTTTTTTTTAAGGAAAGGTGCTTCTGGTTTCCTCACAAGCATTGCTTAAGTAAATTTTGTTCTCCACCTGTTGGAGTAACTCCTCCTCAATATGGAACAGGCACACAGCTGAGAAGGGGGACTGGGAAGGTGTTTTTTTTGTTGCCATCATGGTTACTCATTTGAAACTTTCTGAAAATGGCATGCATGCATGTGTGTATATGTGTGTGTAATAAAACATAGATCATGTGGTTCAAGAAATATATCCTGTTCTTCCCCATCATTCCATCTACATGAAAATACTGATTGAGCAATTACTTTGGGAAAGCACAAATACTTTATTCCATGTCTCATTGAGTTTAGAACCCAGTTTAAGCAATTAGTACAAATGTATACATACATAATCCCCTAGAATATAAGGTAGTCTGTGCTGCATGTTACAAAAGTGGTTTAGATAGTAAAGGCAGCAAGTGATTTGAGGCAATAACTGAATAACAATGAAGAAGCTGGCTCAGTAAACAGAGAGTCTTAGATGCCAGACTGAGGGTTTTGGCCTTCTCCTGTAGGGAGTGTGTAGATGTTGAAGAAGATAAGGCATGACTTGGTGAGTATTTTAGGGGAGAGTAGGAGCTCTGGTAGCATAGTGCCTAAAGCATTTGACTGCTAACCAGAAGTCTGGTGGTTCAAACCTGCCAGCCACTCCTCTGAAGGAAGGTTAGACAATCTAATTCGGTAGTGATACTGCCTAAAAAACCCGAGGAGGGGTTGCTATGAGTCAGATCCAACTCACTGGCAGTGAGTTTGGTTTTTTGGTTTTTTAGGATTGTTTTGATGTGCAGGTCTTAAGAAAGTAGAAAGAGACTATTGTGACAATTGGAGTCCCTATCCATCATGTAGATCACAAAAGCCTGCAGTAGAGTGAGAACAGAGGAAAGGGAAACCACTAAGTAATAGATAAAGAGAGCTGTTATCTAGTTTAAGGAGCTCTGGTGGCTTAGTGGTTAAAGCATTTGGCTGCTAACCAAAGTGTCAGTGGTTCAAACCCACCAACCACTCCACAAGAGAAGGATTGAGGCATTCTGCTTCTGTAAAGATTTACAGCCCTGGAAACCATATAGGGACACTGAGTTGGAATAAACTTGATGCCAACGGGTTGGTATTGGTTTATTACCTGGTTTTGGTCACTCATTTGGCTAGTTTTGAAGAGAAGTCATGGGGAGGATGATGCTTTTGACAGAAATGGCAAATGTTGGGAAATTTCAGTAGAAATCTGTAGCATGTAGCAGAGCCAGGGAGGGGTCAACAGAAAGATAAGCACACAGCCAAGGAAACACCTATATTTAAGAAACAGAGACTGTGCATGGGTACATGGAAGGAAACTTTTTTCCTCTTTTTTTATTGTGATTATCTTTGTTGCCTGTACCACGTGTGCACCTCTCTGTGTCTTCCTTTTCCTTAGTGTTATTGTGTTGGTCACTTGCTTTTGGTATATTGCCTTTCCCTTCGCTCAAGTGATTACAGTGTCTCTTACCTGTCTAGTAATTTTTCCTCCCTTCCCCTCCCATCCCAGTTAACTAACAAAACTAATAAAGAAAACTGGAAGGAAACTTTTTAAACACCAGCTGGAGCACAGTGGGAAGACCATGATAGTACATGAGGAAAGCTGAGCTATCACCTGTAAAATGTTTTTAAGAAATTGAGGGCCATGAGAACTGAGGGCAATTCTTTCTCTGGATATAGAGAGTCGTTTTAAGAAAAGCTTAAACCAAATGATAGAAGCCAAATTATAAGATGTTAAAGGTTTGAGGAGGATTATATGTAGCTGCTAGGAGACCTGATGGCACAGTGGTTAAGCACTCGGCTACTAATAGAAATGTAGGTGCTTTAAACGCACCAGCCACTCCATAGGAGAGAGATGTGGCAGCCCACTTCCCTAAAGATTTACAGCCTTGAGAACCCTGTAGGGTGGTTCTTCTCTTTCCTGTAGGATCACTCTGAGTCGGCATTGACTCAAAGGCAATGGGTTTTACTTGTTTTATATATGTAGCTGGTAATGCAGTGGTTAAGTGCTCAGTGGCTAATCAAAAGGTTGACACTTCGAACCCACAAGTGACTCCATGGGAGAAAAGACCTGGCAATTTGTTCCCATAAACATTAAGCCCAGCAAACCCTGTGGGGCAGTTCTACTCTGTCGTACAGTGTCACTATGAGTCAGAATTGACTCAGTGGCTTACATTATCACCAACAAATATAGCTTAGGCCCTGGGTGGCAAAACTGTTTGTGCTCAATTGCTATCCTAAAGCTTGGTGGTTCAAACCTACCTAGCAGTTCTGTGGAAGAAAGGCCTATTGATCTCATTCCTTTAAGATTACAGTCAAGAAAACCATATGTAGCAGCAGTTCTGTTCCGTACTGTGGGGTTGCCACAGTCAGAATCAACTCGATGGCAACTAATAACAACATCTGTAGCTCATTCCAGAAGTTTGTCAGTGAGAATGAAAAATAATAAAGGAGAGAAGAAGAGAGACTATGGTATGAGGTGAAGGTTTATCCAAGTCTAATGGAGGTAATGATTGTAGAGTTCTGTAAAGCCAAGGAGATGATAGGCTTGGAAAATTTGAGGGAACTGAGAAAGAACTGGAAATCAGCATGTTAGGAAAGAAGTCCAGCGGCTGAACCTTTGTCATTTTTTTTCTCTCATATCCTTTTTTTATACTTAAATATTTAACCATCACCCTTCTAGACCATCATGTAATTTCTTGCAAGTTTCTTTGCTTTAAACTTTCTGAGCAAATTAAGAATATTGTAGTCTTTTCTAAATCAGTCTTTCTGTGTAACCAGGGCAATTTGCAAAGCAGAACTTAAAATTTAGGCCTTTTTGTGTCCTTGAAACAGGAGTGAATTTGTTAGTGGGTACAGAGAGTGGCCTGATGCTGCTGGACAGAAGTGGCCAAGGGAAGGTCTATCCTCTTATCAACAGAAGACGATTTCAACAAATGGATGTGCTTGAAGGCTTGAACGTCTTGGTAACAATATCTGGTAAGCCTGCCTCTTCCTTAGTGGTTGTTTACTAAAGCAGAATCTGTAATGTTGTAGGTGTATGTCTACACAGACATATAAAAAAGTTGAATGTTTCAAAGTGATAAACTTCATTTCCCTCAGTCTCTGACATAATGTTTAAATGATTTTATAATAATGTGATGGGAAGATGCAGTCTGATATGACACACATATATATGCTCTGCTCTGGCTCTTCTAAAGAAAAGTCTTAAATAGCATCCATACGTATGTTTTCTAATTGACATCTCCCACGTGACCCACAGCATGCCATCCATGTGAGGATAACTCTCTGCCTCCCATTGCTTGTTAAGTTTCATTTAGCTCATCCAGTATCTTGGGAAGTAAGCCCAGGACTGGCTTTCACATGCATGAGGAACTGTTCTTTGCTATGATTGTGAAAGGATTGTGTTATTTATTTATTTATTTTCTTAAAACAGTGGGCACTTGAGTACGAATTTATTTTTTTTACTAACAGTATTTTTCTTAGTATAAATATGTTCGTTGTAGAAAGTAAGAAAGTACTGCAGGAAAGCAACAGGGAAAATAACTTCCAATCTGTTAAACACACACACCACACCTTGGTACACATCTAAGGGGGGTGGGGGAAGCTGCAGTAAATAATGGCTATACAATATTTCAAACATAAAGAGAATAATTTGACATCCATGTGCTGACTGGGTAGTTTTAACAAATAGTAAACTGTAACTGTAACTGTTGTAGATAGAGTTAGTGTCTTTGCCACCATCCATCTGCCCTCAGTAGCCACTGTCCAAACATCATATCCGTGCTGGTTTACATTTTGTACTGCATTCATATGTATCCATTTATAAGACTTTAATTAAGCCCTGTAATGCCAGCCACAATTTTTATTTAATTATCTGCTCTCTCAGGTTTGTTATATGTTTGTTTATATGTGCTAGATTTGCTTGCATTTCCTTGCAGTGACTTTGTTTTCAATTTTGCTTTTGGTTGTAAGTAAAGAAGTTTGTTGAAATGCAAAAATTTACCCAGCTGTATCATATTTAGATGAGAAAATAGCTGTCTAAAACTTAAGTGATGGTAGGGTAGGTTTTCAAACTGAAGGCAAAATAACAAATCTGCCTCTAAAAATAGTTTAAATTTAATTTTGCAATGAGGTGAAACAAGATTGTAAGTGGCAATAATCACTTGATACCAGAGATAGTTTATTGGTCTGCTCCTCTGCACTCTTTCCCTCTTTTAATAGCGTTCCGTGTTCTTCACAGCTGTAAAAGAAATACACAGTGATTGGAATGTTCAAAAATAGGGGAGAAAAAAAACAGAAGAATAACAATTTGTTTTCTGTCTCATAGACATTTTAGTGTATTCTCTTCTATAAACCTATCTCATGGTATCAGAATAAAATACTAAACATGTATATATCTGCCTTCCTTTTACTTAACATAGTATAATGAGCATTTTCCCACTTTAAAAAATTTCTCTAAAACTCAAAAAAGTTGTATTGAAGTCTAAGAAGCATATTGAAACTGCACAGATTGTACATGTGCAGTTCAGTGAATGATCACAAAATGAATACATCCATGTAGCCTCTTTCCAGGTAAAGAACTGGCATTCCCAGCATCCCAAAAGCTCCCATGCTGCCATGCAGCCACTGGCCCCACCCTTCCCCTGATGGAACTGCTGTCCTGATGTTGAACACCTTAGATTGGTTTTGCCTTCATTGAACTGAATTTACATAAATGTGACGTGCTCTTTTGTGTCTGCTTTCATTTGCTCAACGTTACATATTTTGTGCTTATTGCTGGGATTCATTCTTTTTTTATTCGCACATATGATAACACCACAATTAATTCATTTTACTATTGATAAGACATTTGTGTTACTTCCTGTTTGGGACTATTACAAACAATACTGCTATGAATATTCTTCCTCATGTATTTGAGGAATCATATGCATATATTTATCTCAGGAGACAAATTACTGTATCATCCAAAGGGAATGCAAATACAGGGAGTCCCCAGATTACAAATGAGTTCCGTTCCTAAGTCTATCTTCAAGTCAGATTTGTACGTAAGTCATAACAGTTACATACAGTTATATCTAACATCAGTTAGTCGAATGTTTGTCTTAGTAAATGGTGTATAGTATACCTTTCTATGCATAAAAAACATTAAAGAAACACTTCCAGATACATTAAAACATCTTTAACATAATAAGCAGTAATAATGTTTTCATGTGTGTCACAAAGTAGCACCTGTTTGTTACTACAAACCATTGTATGTACCTTGAAATTTTAATGTAATATGCTTTACAGGGGTTGGTCCATAACTGCAGGTTGTACGTTGTTTACTGTTGGATATTTATAATCCTGGGACTGCTGTTCCCAACTTTAATAGATAATACTAAATCTTTCAAAGTGGTTCTCATAGTTCAGAACACTAGTTTATGAGGTTTCTAGTTGCTCCACCCCTCTCAGTCTTTTAATTCCAGATACTCTGATCAATGTATGAAATTGTATCTCTTTATGCTTTTAATATGCACGTCCCTATTGACTTTGAAATCTGGCACCTTTTTATGTCTGTATGAGAATCTTCTTTTATGAAATGCCTACTCTAGCCACTCCTCGGAAGGAAGGTTGGGCAGTCCTACTTCCGTAGTGATACTGCCTCGGCCCAAGGTGGGGTCGCTATGAGTCAGGTTTGACTTGACAGCACATAACAACAACAGTTGCTTCTGCAGTTTTTCTGCTAGATTCTCTCTCTTACTTATAGGAGTTCTTTACATATTCTAGATGTTAGGGCTTTGTCTAAGTGACACACATCTCCAGTTTGTAACTTGCCTTCTTGTGTCTTCGAGCCCCTGCATGGGTGATTTATTTAAGCTTTTTTTTCTTTCAGTTTCTTCACCTGTCAGATGAGAGATAATAGCTACTGTTAAGGGGTTTGAAAGTCAGATGATGTAATAGATGTGAAACAATTTATAAACTACTACTTTTATTATTGTGCAGCTGGTTGTATTCTTGTGTAGTTTATTGATACTGTCCATCTCTGTTTGTGTGAGTTTTTTATTCTTTACTGTTACTAAAGATGATATCTAATTTTGACTATGCATTTAAAATACTTATTTTTTCTTTTTCTAGGCAAAAAGGATAAGTTACGGGTCTATTATTTGTCTTGGTTAAGAAATAAAATACTTCACAATGATCCAGAAGTGGAGAAGAAACAGGGATGGACCACTGTAGGGGATTTGGAAGGATGTGTACACTATAAAGTTGGTAAGTTCCAGGAGAGTCACAAGGACTATGTTTTTGTAGGGTTTAATTAGCATTCCGTGAAACTCATAATAAACTTGATTCTGGTATCTGTGGCTCATTTGTCATGTTCTGTTTCTAAGCCATCTTCTAACCCTGCAGTAGCTAGACACTGTCTTTCTTACTACCATACGTACACATATAAACATAGCATATAGTTTGTTCTTGAAGCTCACTCTGTCCAGTCTCACTGCACAATAGTTCATCTTGTTAGAGAGTCTTTTCACTTCTACTTTTTGACAGTCCACATTATTTTCCTCTTTAAGATGTGCTTCAAAATAACCTCTTTAAGGAAGGCTTGCCAAATGAAAACCAGCAACTTGGGTTCCTCCTTTACACCCTAGATGTGTGGTGGTCACTAATAGTACGTTTGAGAGTTTGACCCAAAGAACAATGACTTGTCATTTTGAATTAAGTGCACTGTGCAGAGCTGCTCTGCTCTTTATCAATACAGTAAGTCCCCAGGGTACGAATGTTCAGCTTAAGGACTACTCATACTTGCCCTATAATGTAATGTAAATTTGCCCTAATTTTTAAAGCATTCGATTGCTAACCAGAAGGTCAGTGGTTCTAAACCACCAACTATTCTGCAGTTGAAGGATGAGGCAGTCTGCTTCCATAAAGATTTACAGCCTTGTAAACCCTGTGGGGCAGTTCTTCTCTATCCTAAGGGGTCACTGAGTCAGAACCAATTCGATGGCAGTGGGTTTTGAAACAGCTAGCAACAAATTCTTCATCAGAGTCACCATCACTTGTTGCATTTGCAACTTTTAAATCATTGAAAAGGACTTGAGCCTTTCCTTGCACTAAAGTATGGCTAAATAAGAACCGTATGCACCAGCTCTAGTTTACCTACAAATTCCACTTAAAATCGTTCTTAGGAACTAATCTTGTTCATAGCCTGGGGACTCCCAGTAAATAAGTCCCACAGCTGCTTTTTTTTGTTATTACTGTTTCTTTTTTCTACTTCTTCTTGGCAGGGACACATTGATTCTCATGAAGTAAAATTCTCATTAAAAAAAACCAAAACATTTTGTTTATGAAGAAAAAATCAAAATACTGGTACTAATAATGGAAATAAAGAGGAAATTAAAGACCTTAGCCAAATTAAAGTTTTATGGAAAAGGTTATATACGCTGATAGAATTTGAAATAGTTGAGGTCAACGAATTATCTATATACTATATACCTAAGACTGGTTAGCATTAGGGAACTACTGAATGCTGATTTATGCTTGCATTTTTTTCCCTTTGTTTATAAAAAGATATACCATAATCAGTTCCTTCACTCCTGGGGATGTTATGGGCCTGACGTTAATTATCTTGTTACTGTAGTCTGTTCACAGCTCTCAGCTCATTGGTTAATAATGGCTCCAGGAGCTGCCCCAATATTTATCCAGAATGAATTTGAGTGATACTGGAAAGTAATGCTGTCTCCTTGATCAAGATTTTGGGACTAGGATTTTCTGTGTTTATATACAGCAATTTTGTTTGTTGAGGTGTATGACTATGATCATCTTAGGCTAAATTTCATGAAACAGTGCTTAACTGCTGAAAAGTGCATGACTACATTATCCTACAGGGGGAGCTAGAGGCAGATCTGTTAGATCATACTGGGCTTTTCTCCAGAATAAAATGACAGTCTTAAAATTTACAGAACAAGTCACAGCATTTTCTGGAGATAAGAATATGTATTTGTCAATCATTATCTTTATAATTTAGGAAGGTTTGTTTTTTCTAATTTCAGTTTATTGAGAGCTGTGCTGTATAATATGGTAGCCACCAAGCACAGGGGACTATTTAAATTTATTAATAATTATTTAAATAAAATTTAAAATGAGTTTCTCAGTACATTTCAAGTACTTATGAGTTGTATGTGTATAACTAGTGACTGTCATATTGACATGCAGATGAACAGTTTCACCATGGTAGAATTTTCTATTAGAAATTTTGTGCATTAATATTTATGTCAGTGATTTATTTTAACAATGACAAGACAAGGAGTTTTACAAAGAGAGTCATCAGATTAAGAAGCCCTCTTTCATTCACAAAGGAAGGATCAAATAGTATCTCAGTGTTGGATAGCTTATAAAGGAACTGGCAGATCCTCATCAGACCAGTAAGCCATATGTGTTCAGGGACCCCTGTTTTTAGCCAAGGGACCTGGATATAGGAGAATTCAAGCAGCTTGGTAGGGGTAGCAATTACCTTATAGTTGAAAAAAAGATTTGTTTTACTACTGCTTCTCTGGTGCAGAACTTTACATAGAATTCTAGAAATTACTGCTTCGATAGATCAGCTAATTGATAGTTTGGTGTGATGCTTAGTTTTAAGAATGGAACTAGGTAGCATTTGAGACTTACTGACTGTTTGGTGTAAGTGCTGTGCATGACACAGGAAAGCTGTTCGGAAGATTTCCATCTCTTTCTGTTATCCAGGAGCCTCTTGGCTGATTAATCATGTCATTTCCTTTTAAAGAAATGATGAGCCTTCTGGACTTCAGGGTGGCCTGGCATTGTTCCTGATTATAAAATACTTGGGATTAGTAATATTAGAGAAGGTACCTGTGGATGGGAGCCAGAATATCAGAGTTGAGTCTAATGCAACATTGAAAAAGATAGAAACAGTCTGGATTATGCATTAAGGAATTAGGAAAGAGAACCATGAGGCTTGATCTCTCAACATTTTCCCCTGCTGATCTGGTAAAATTAAAGGAAGACATGTTTACAAAGTTTGCAGGTGACAACTAAAAGAAGTTACGGTTCCACGATGATACTGACCTGTGTTGTTCTCTCTCTCTTTTTTCCCCAGTAAAATATGAAAGAATCAAATTTCTGGTAATTGCTTTGAAGAGTTCTGTGGAAGTTTATGCATGGGCACCCAAGCCATATCACAAATTTATGGCCTTTAAGGTATAAATCAAGTATTTTATAAAGCCTCAGCTGTGCTAGCTGTGACCAAGAGCCCCAGGGCAAACTTCAAAAATTCTGAACAGCTAAAACTGTAATACAAAAGTTATGTGCTAATATATAACTTTATCATAAAAGAGGCCATTCTAAGGACCTATTTTATTTCATGTGATTAGCTTAGTTAGGAGCTCTGGTAGCATAGTGGCTAAGGCACTTGACTGCTAACCAGAAGGCTGGCGGTTCAAACCTACCAGCCACTCCTCGGAAGGAAGATGGGGCAATCTACTTCCGTAGTGATACTGCCTCGGAAACCCAAGGAGGGGTCGCTATGAGTCGGGTCCGACTCGACGGCACATAACAACAACAGCTTAGTTACCTGTTTTCCAATCCCTCAGAGTGTGAGAAGGAGAGCTGCATGCTGGGCAGGCACTTTGGCTAATGTGCCATTGTGATAACAGGAAAAGACAAACCTCCACTTCTACCCTCTGTTTAATTTAAAAAGCAGACCTTCCACCTAAAGTTATGAATTTATGTAAAGAGTTAGGGAAGTTTTTGATAATAAAAAGGTGTTCGTTAATAGGAAGTATTAAAGTGTAGCTAAGGTGTTAATTTAAAATTAAATTATAGAAATAATTAAATGGCACAAGGAATGTATATTATACATTAAATGGAAAAAACAAGTTGAAAACATGTATAGCATGATTCCATTTTTGTTTAAAGAAAAAAATTGCTTATAGAAAAAATCTTAGCAGTTATTTTCTTTGGGTATTTTTAATATTTCTTTTTTATAACTTACTTGAATTTATGAATTTCTTAATTTACTGTGACACTACATGTCATAATTTAATAATATTCCTAATACTAGAAACAAAACCACCTTAAATGTAGCCCCTGAGACCATTTAGTTTACAGCAAGAGATGGAGACTTTTTCCTCCAAAATGGTTACAATTTACTTATTTTAAAAAATAGTTCAGACATATAATTAAAAGGAAAACTTCAGTTATTTAGAAGATTTACCTATTTAGATTGCCTGATTCCCCAGGGAAGCGGGAAATACAGGGTTACCATATTTGTTTAAAAAAAAAAAAAACAAACCTAAGTGTTATTGACTCAAATAATTGATTATAAAATTATGATTACCTTCTGTGATCTGGTTTTAATATCCTTTATTTACCAGGTACTGTAGTAGTTTATAAATGTTATTTAATTCTACTGTTTCATCGTCATCATCCCAGTCTTGTGAGCTGAGGGTATTATGTGAATGAAGAAATGAAACTGTCCATTACGTTACAGGCTATTACAGTACATTGTGGCCTTTGTCACCATACTATTTTAGTCAAAAAAAAAATTAAGTCCATATTGCTTGAAATGGTGACTACCGTGATAATACTGAGAAATTCTCAATATGTAACTCCTGCAACTTTTCTATCTCCATTGTCTGCATTTGAGTAGTTGAATAGAATTCTACAGAAAGTCCTCATTATTTCATTTTATATGTTTTCTGATCAGGACAACAACATTAACAGTAAGTGACAGGACAGAATTCTTGGCTTTTGGAGAAGTGTCTTCCAGAGGCTGGTTTACAGACAAAAGCATAAAAAAGCATGACTTTTCCTTCTTGTGGTTGCTAGTGATGGCAGTGGGTTTGGTTTTGTTTGTTCGTTTTAGTGTGGCTCAGTAATTGAATAAACTGAGTATATTGGGTGTAGCTGAGGTAGTTTGAGCTATTAGAATAAGTTCTATTTACTATGTATTTCTTACTACTTCTCTCTCAACTACTTCTTTGTAGTCATTTGGAGAATTGTTACATAAGCCATTACTGGTGGATCTCACAGTTGAGGAAGGCCAGAGGTTGAAAGTGATCTATGGATCCTGTGCTGGGTTCCATGCTGTTGATGTGGATTCAGGATCAGTCTATGACATTTATCTACCAACACACGTAAGAAAGAACCCACACTCTATGGTTGGTTGACTGGCTTCATTTTGTTTTGACTTTTTTCTTTACTCTGCTTAGTGAACTAACACAAGCAGGGATTTCTCACTTCCCCGTGGTGTGGGGGTGAGTATTTAAATGATGTTCCATTTTCAGTAGGTCCATGTTCTGAGACAAGTAAAAATTCACTCTCCAAGCTCTGCGAAGCCCTTGCTTTGACTAACATGGGATGGATTTGGGGCAATTGCTGATAGGCCAGGTTGCTGGGTTGGGAGCGGTTCTAAGAACATAACTTCTCAAATGGGGTTCACAACCAAATATGTTCAAGGCCTCAAAAACAAGAGTCAGTAGAGTATATGACCTGTTAAAAATAAGCTTTGGGATATAGAGCTCATGCGTTCTCCAAAATATTACACTATTGCTGTATTTATCACCAGGAATATGGTAGCACTGCATTAACTGAGACAATCTTACTGGGTACTTTTATTAGACTAGAAATAGCCACAAACATGCTTCCCTGTACTTTGTTCCTCTTCTCTAGATCCAGTGTAGCATCAAACCCCATGCAATCATCATCCTTCCCAACACAGATGGAATGGAGCTTCTGGTATGTTACGAGGATGAAGGGGTTTATGTGAATACATATGGAAGGATCACCAAGGATGTGGTTCTGCAGTGGGGAGAGATGCCAACATCTGTAGGTGTGTATTAGTCAGGGAAAAGGCAGCATTCTTAAAACTGGTTGCTTCTCTAAAGTTACATATCATACTAATTTTGCATGTTGTTCAAATCTTTGGCTATGTTACAGAGTAGTTGGCTATAGATTGTACGGTATTGGTCATAACTCTGTGTAATGAACAAAATCCAAGTAAGTGTATTATACTTTGTAAAACATTGTCATCATAATCCCTCATTTAATCCTTAAGATATCCAGGAAGAATAGGACAATTTTTTTATTGACTGATTTGTAGGAAGTAAAGTAAGACAAAAAAAGGTAAGAGATTAACTCTTACAAGTAACAGAGACATGGCTTTGTGTCTCTTCTGTGCTTCTCGGGTTTGTATTCAGGAATAAAGGAAAGAGGCTGATATTTGAAATGTGCATGGTGTTTAAATTTAATCCCCAAATTATTTTGGTTTTATTGCAGTAAAAGTCACTGTCTTTTGAGTTTTTTTCTTCTTTGCCTCATGTCTAGATTCATGAAAATACGTATGCCTCAGGGAAATTAATAGGTGCAGCTGTTGATCCAAATAATCATTTCCCTGGATACACCAGGAGGTTATAAACACAGTACTAGCAAAGTTCCTTAAAACAAAAACCCTTAAACACTAGGCATTCATTTGTATGTGTACATATTGCATAAGGAGGATCTTTTTTCATGGCTGTTTCTTTAACTATATATCTTTTTCCCTTTTCCGAAAAAGCATATATTCGATCCAATCAGACTATGGGCTGGGGAGAGAAAGCCATAGAGATCCGATCTGTGGAAACTGGTCACTTGGATGGTGTGTTTATGCACAAAAGGGCTCAAAGACTAAAATTCTTATGTGAACGTAACGACAAGGTAATGGTTTCCTTATAACTTCTTCTTAGTTGCCACTGTCTTTTAGTGATGGGTTATTATCCCAGAATTTGATGTAACCTTTCCTTGGAATTTTGATAGATTTTGAAGTAAATTCATCAGAGGACTTTTTAGAAGTCACTTTTTTACATGTCTGTGGAAATTAGGGTGTATTTTATTTTGTTTTTACTTTGAAGGAATGGAGCTATTTTGTCTCTGTAAAAATCACGTTTGGTTTATTGAATTTTTATTTTATTAGTATTTTTTAAAATCTTATTGATTTAGGGATAATGGGGGAGGGGAGCTGGGGGGCCAGTTGCCATTGAGTCAGTTCTGAGGCGTGGCGATCCCTTGTGGGTTGAAGTAGAACTGTGCTCCATAGCGTTTTCAGTGGCTGATTTTTGGGGAAGTAGAATGCCAGCATTTTCTTCGAAGGTGCCTTTGGGTGAACTTGAACTTCCAGCCTTTTTAGTTAGCACTGTTGATTTAGGTGGATAGGATTATTTTGTGAATGAAAGGAACTGCCCATGCAACTTGGTAAATGGTTTCGTAGAGAAATATATCAGTAAGATAGCACTTATTAGTCTGCCTTTGGAGTAGTGAAATAGCTTCATAGTTTGCACATGATAGATGTCCAATGTGATAAATCATTTTTGGCAGAAGTCCAGCACATCCTGCAGCTGAGACCTGAGAGTGAGAAAGCTCCAATTAAAAGCTTTATTTTTGAAAAGTGACCACATCTTTGTGTTCTTCAGGGGCTATTTGCTCCCTCTGCATCCCTCCCCAAACCAGCCATGGAGTAGAGGAGGTAGATGGCCAAGGTCATGCCCTATCCTGGCCTGCTTTGGGAAGGTCATCAAAGGTGGAACTGAGTTTTAACAAGCCTGGCATTTTCTCTATTCTGTCCAGCTGGGTAAAGACATCTTTTACTACCTTAAACTATACAATACAACTGAGAAACTTGCCTCTTAAAAATATTTCCACTTCTTAACTCATAGTGAAATATATTAAACATCCTGCCAACCGTTTCTCCAGCTAAACATACAGATTCGGTATGGTGAAGAAGAGCTACCCATCTTTTCTTGATCCTTCTCCTTGCCCAGCCACATGCTAAACACAAAACGTTGCTTTCTGCCAACCCTCTTTCTCCTGCAGGTCTGCCTTTCATTTGCATCTTTTTCCTACATGGTATCTAACATACCTGTTACCTTATAAAATCCATGTAACAGCAGACCTAATTCAGGATTTTGCCAGCTTTTTGGCTTATATTTTCCTAAATATATTTAATGTAGCCATAACTATAATAGTCACTGAATTTCAGGTATTTAAATATTTTAATCCTTTGTGTATCCCTTAAGATTTATTAATAAAATGTATAAAAGTAAATTAAGAGCTCTGGTAGCATAGTGCCTAAGGCACTTGACTGCTGACCAGAAGGCTGGTGGTTCAAACGCACCAGCCACTCCTCGGAAGGAAGGTTGGGCAATCTACTTCGTAGTGATACTGCCTTGGCAACCCAAGGAGGGGTCGCTATGAGTCGGGTCTGACTCGACAGCACACAACAACAACAATAAAAGTAAATTACGTTATTTTGACCATAGAGTCGAATGAAGTGACTGATATATTTTAGCTTAATTTTTAAAAGGACAGAGAAAATTACCATACTTTTCCATAAATAACATGTGCTTTATAGGTTCTGTTTTTGCAAACCATGCAGTTCCCTCACGTGTTAGTTTCCCATATGCATTGTGCGTGTCATATGTGGGAAAATTATAGTAAATTGCTGAAGAGTTATCCCAATTGCTCACTGAGTTTTCCAAATACAACTTTTATTAGGTATTAGAGGTGGAAAGAAGTATCCCATTTTCAGAAACACCTTCCCCCGCCTCTTTGAGTTCTCACAGTATGGCATCATTGTGCAAGGAGTTAACTGGTTAATAAGCCTTAAGAGGGTTGTTGTTGTTGTTATTATGTGCCGTCAAGTCGGCCCCGACTTATAGTGACCCCTCCTTGGGTTTCCGAGGCAGTATCACTACGGAAGTAGGATTGCCCAACCTTCCTTCTGAGGAGTGGCTGGTGGGTTTGAACCGCCAGCAGTCTGGTTAGCAGGCAAGTGTCTTAGCCACTATGCTACCAGAGCTCCCCTTAAGAGGGTAATAGCTGGTTAATAAGCCTTTAGAGGTTGTGATAAAAATTGACCACAAATGGTCATTCCTTATAAATGATGAATTGATGCTATCTCAGATCTTCTTTGGAAAAGGCTCTTTGAGGTTTTAAGCTTTATGCACTTAGAGGTTTTGAGGGGTAACTTTAGGTGACTGGGGAACCATAGGAAGCATTGTCCTTAAGTAGTGTGTTAATGTCACCATGCTAAGCACCCTTCTCTGTTTTCTCTTGCTTTTGCAGGTATTCTTTGCCTCTGTCCGGTCTGGTGGCAGCAGTCAGGTGTATTTCATGACCTTAGGCAGGACTTCTCTTCTGAGCTGGTAGAAGTGGTGTGATCAGAGAAGTGCTGGCCTCCAGAGTCTTCAAGATCCTGAGAACTTGGAATTCCTTGCAACTGGAGCTCAGACCTGCATTGGTGCAGTCCAGGACAGCTGTGTGTGCAGACCTCCCATGTTGGGTCCTTTCTCTCCTTTCCTTTCTACTCCTCTCTTCCCAGTTGACCACCCCATGCTCTTCTTTTCCTTACTCAAAAATAAATCAAGGCTGCAATGCAGCTGGTGCTGTTCAGATTCTACCATCAGGTGCTATAAGCGTTTGGGATTGAGCATCAGACTAGAGAGCAAATACCTTTCCTTCAGCTCCAGAATTCCTTGTCTCTGAATGACTCTGTCTTAGGGTGTCTGACAGTGGAGACTATGAACATGCTGTTGGTTTTATGGGAAGTGGGCACAAGGAGGTAAAAAGTGGTGGTATAAAAAGCAGTGTGCTGAAGCAGAGAGCAGATTTAATATAGTAACATTAACAATGTATTTAATTGACATTTCTTTTTTGTAATGTGACAATATGTGGACAAAGAAGAAGGTGCAGGTTTAAGAAGTTAATATTTATAAAATGTGAAAGACACAGTTACTAGGATAACTTTTTTTGTGGGTGGGGCTTGAGAGGTGGGGTGGGTTGGTTAAGGGGGGTCCCGTTTTGTTTCTTGAATTTTTTTTTTTTTTTTTTTGGCCTGGCCAAGAACTCAGTCATTTTCTGTGTACCAGGTTTTGCCTAAATCATGTGCAGATGGTTCTTTAAAAAAAAAAGGAAAAAGAAAATTTGTGCATTTTGTTTAAATGGCCAGAACTTGGTTGTATCACAGTATTAGCACTGCCTCAGTTAAGGTTTAATTTTTGTTTAAACCTCGAAGTGCAACAACAGTTTTACCACAGTCTGCACTTGCAGAAGAAAAAAAAATCCAAACCACATGTTTATTTTTTTTGCCTACCTCATTGTTTTTAATGCATTAAGAGGTGGTTTATAGTTTTTGGAGGAAAACATTCATGTTTAATTTAATCTTAATACCAAAACTATCAGATTGAAGTTTGCCTGTTTTTTTGTCAAATTTCTCAACAGGCGTGAAAAAAGTTGTCCATGAAGATGGGAAAATAGCCTTATGGCTTTATGATGCTGACTAATGCAATTTGCTTTCTAAGCTTGGAAAGCAGAATGCTTTGTTTTGTTTTGTTTTTTTTACCAGATTCACCGTTAGTGGTTGGTGGGCGATGGGAGCCTACAACACAGAGATCTCCTTGTTCTCAATTTGGGGTTTGGTAGCCAACAGATGTCACATTAGAATAGTCACACAAATTGTTCAGTGTTGTAGGAACCTTTTCTTGGGGGGTGGGGTATTTCCCTTTTCTAAAAATGCAATGCACTAAAACTATTTTAAGAATGTAGTTAATACTGCTTATTCATAAAACGGCATCTTCCTGTGTTCTAGGTGTAAAATCCAAGCCTTGGCTTTTCTCTTTCTCTCACTTTCTCACTGTTCTGTTTTTTAAACCAATTTTACTTTATGAAAATGTCCATGACATTTGTAATAAATGTCTTGAGTAATAATTTGTTTAATGGCTTCATGGTCATTACTCAATTCCTTTGAGTATATCAGTCTCTTGATAATGTAGCAATGCACAGTGTCATGATTCTACCGTCTTTTTCTCTGGTGAGTTTTGAATGGAAGGAGTATTGCGTGACAGCTACTCTGCTACTGTTCATTCACCAAACAGAAGCTTGGTGTCTCATCAGCTTCATCTTCCTCTTTTGTGGTTAATTTTCTTTTGTGACATAAAAATGGGGAATTTTCTTGTCTCTCTCTGTTGTTTAGTTTTGCTTTTTCCCCCAAAATGTAACAATCATTTGCACCTATTCGTCAAGTCGGTGCCCATTTGGCATCCATTCCAACTACTACCATTCCCTTCCTTCTGGATCAGCAATTTTGCTAAAGGCTCCCCTCTGAGCTATAAAACTCTAGTAAAAAAGTGTGTACACTTGCTATGCTTGCTGTACTAAAAATACATGCACTCACAAATGCAAACACAATAATGGTTGCAACACATGCATAAAAACCAGATAACAGAAAACTTTACTTTCTTTTGGAGAGACAAGGAGGTGGAAATAGTTTTTTCCATCTGTATGACTTTGGAGTAGTGTTAATGGCCAAAGCAGAAAAACTGGTTCTTTGCTACTAATTTATAGTTAATAGAAGATTGAATAGTCCTTTGGAAGAACTTGCAATAGGCCAGATTTTGTCACTAGAGGACTTCAACCAAAAGCAAAGTCCTGCCAACAGTTTCCTCTAAGTATGTATTGTTGCTGTGGTAAGATGAAGTATGCCACAGGGAAAACGTGGAGTGCACACCAAGAGGAGAAAGAAGCAGGTGGTTTGGTTAGTTATGGTCCCCTCCCGTGGCTTTAGAGAGAAGTAAAAGATGAGTAGGTGTCTTTGAAGAAGTACTAAATTTTTGATGCCAATAATGAAAGCAGATGGGGCATCCTTGTCTTCCATTATCCACAGACCTGCTGTTCAAAGGAAGTGGAAGTGGTGGTGTGCATATAATGCAAATGATGTTTCATTGGAATTACTAGGTCTTTAGAACCTGACAAAAACTGGATTTCTCTTAGGAGGTCATAGCAATGGGATTTGACCTCAACTAAGAATAATTGTACCTGTCATACTTTTCGCAGTACCGGGCACCCTGTTGGCAATCTTCTTGGTGTTTGAGTTGAACTTAATTACTGAGCTTAACTTCCTGAAGCGAGCCAGCCGTTCCATTGTCCTTACAGGATTGGATTCCTGGTGATGCTTTACTTGACTGGTGTGGTCCTTACTCCTTTCTTGGATCACTGACTGGCAAACCACATTGTGTTGTGATAGCTGGGTACAGGTGCCCTGTTAGGTTTCTCCATGAAAGATTGTGAGCTGTTGAAATTTCAGATTCTTTTAGAGAAGGAATGCCTTTTTTTTTTTTTTTTTTTTTTTTTTTCCTTCTACAGAGTAGTGACGTTTCGACAGAAGTGCCAAGATGGCAAATTACAAGATCAAACAGTATTATGATGATAGTATTACATGTGGAACATGGAGCTCTTAAAGCAGTGCTCCTCAAAACAAAATAAAACACAAATACGTCTCTAGGTTTAGTTAAAACTTCAATAATAAATAATACCTTCTTGTATTTAAATCAGAGTAACTCTTTCTGTATTGAGTGCAGTGTTTTTACTTTTTTCTCATGCACATGTTATGTTGGAGAAATTGTTTACAAAAATGGTTTTGTTACACTAATGTGCATCACATATTTATGGTTTATCTTTAAGTGATTTTTTAATGGGTTATTTAGGTTTTTGTCTTAGGTATAGTACACTTTTGGTGATTCATAATCCCTAATTCTGCCAATTACAAATTTGCTAAATAGTAATGCAAATGACAGACTGCATTAAATTTACTAATCATAGAGCTGCAAAGCAGACTGGTGGCAAGTACACACTTAGCCTTTTTTTTTTTTTTTCTTTTTGCACAGTGCTAACTTGTCTTCTGTGTATTATGAAAATCATTGTTGTCCCTCCCCCTTTTTTCCCTTAAATAAAGTGAAAAATGACATCTATTTTATGTGGCATGAGTTTCAAGTATGTTTGGATCCTTCAGAACATTTGCTTCTTGTAGGATCTGTATATTTTATGCACTCCTCCTTTCCCCGTGCCACCCCCAACAGAGGTCAGAGTGGATGACTACCAGACCCTGCCTTCTCACATAAGGAGCTTGTCCTAAGGGGTCACCAAGCACAGGTAATGAAAATTGGAATCATTTGTTTGAAGATCTCGGAGATGAAATAGTTGAGCTCTCCATTGCCACATTCCCGAAGCTAAAACAGAGAAGGCTGATCGTTACAGGAGAAATAAGGTGGTAGTTGGTAGTTTTGCAGGTCTGAACTAGATTGAAAGTAAAATAGCTGATTCCTGTCTAATAGGACAATTAATTTTAAGTCTTACTCAAATTGGTTCATGCCAGTTGCTGCTGAGTGGATTCAAACTCGGCGTGACCCACTGTGTGTCACAACAGAGCTGTATACTCCACAGGGCTTTCAGTATCTGATTTTTCAGAAGTAGATTGTCAGGCCTTTCTGCTGAGGTGTCTGGGTGACTTGAACCCCCAACCTTTAGGTTAGCAGCCAAGCACATTATCTGTGCCACCCAGAGACAAATGACTCAGAAATAACCAAAGCCACTGTCATCAAGTCGATTCCAATTCATCTCGTGATCCTATAGAATAGAGTAGAACCACCCCATAGGGTTCTTGAGGCTATAAACTTTTATTTCTCCCAGGAGCAGCTAATGGTCTCGAACCACCCACCTTTTGTTTAGCAGCAAAATGCCTTAACTACTGCACTACCATACTCCCTAGTAATTGGAACTCTTTCCATGTAAGATCATGTGGATAAGCCCTTGTGTTGTGCCTCCATTGATTCCAACATAGGTCTGCTGGTAGGCATCATCCCCATTTGACACATCTGTGAACATGCCCTTGGGTGAGATACCTTGTTTAAGCATCCAGCTGGGGAAAGACCAGCTGGTCCACTGCTGAGGTTGTATTGATTATAATATGTTAATTAACTCCTTTGTGCTTCATAATTTTTTTTAAGCATGTCATTTCGCTAAGGTAAAAAAAAAATGAAATACTTAGGCTGCCAGATGAGTGTACGTTTTCCTGTGTTGTGTGTGTTGCGGCTGTGGATGATTAGGAATAAAAACTGGTGGAGTGCGCTTGTCTTCGGGACTGTCATTCATTCCTCTCCATTGGGTTGCTTAAAGGAGCAACCAGGATAAAATCAGCCTCTTTAGCCGACATCAGCGCCATGCCTTGGCATTGCTTGCTTTAAAGGATGTAGCAAAATTGCTCTCTCTGCCATCTGCCACTTGTGTGAAAAATAGTAAGAGTGCTCATGCCTCACTCCAAGGGAAGTAGATGGTATGCTTTATAAAGTGAAACGGTGCTACATTACCTAGTGTTACTGTAGCGAAAAGCAAATAGCACAAATGGGCGGCTTTCACAAACTTACTTTCTCTGAATTCAGGGTACTGGCTCTAGGGGAAGGTTTTCTCTCTCTGTCAGCTCTGGAGGAATGACCTTGATCTTCTGCGCTTCTCCTTGGTGTAGTGTTCGTGTGGTTGACATCCGTCTTCCCCCATGTCTGCTTGCTTGCGTTTTGTCTCTCATATCTCAAAAAAAGATTGACTCAAAATACACCCTGTGCTAATCCTGCTCATTAACATAGCAGACATCCTTTTCCCAAATAGTATCATAACCACAGGCATAGAGGTTAGGATATGCAACACATTTTTTTGGGACACAATGCAATCCATAGCATCTAGCTAAGGGATTAAAAGTTGGGAAAAGATCTTTACTACATTTTCTTATGAAAGAATGAATGCGTGTTCAAATACTAGGTTCGCATATGTGGTCTACTTCTTTTATCTTTAGGTTTATGAACCTTAACTTTTCCATGTTATAAAATCTTAATGAAATTGCCCCCTATTTGCCTCTGACCTGCCTAACTTCACTGTGCTTACTGTCACCCTGTTTTACCCTGTCCTGTTGCCTGATGATTTGTCACAGTACTGTTCTCTTCACTGTTTTCTGTCTGGATACAGAGTCTTCACATGAGCGGAGATGGTCCCTTGGATTTAGCGATTTAACAAACATTTATTAAATCCTGTGCTCCTTAGAGAATACAAAACATGTTCGGGACCAGAGCAGGCT